ATGACTTTCATGTTGGTCTAATACAAAATAATTGAGAAATTGATTGCAAACATTGGCTGTATATCAATAAGAAACTTCATGGCGGCAGAAGTTAACGGCTATCTTGAAAGCATGGAATCTGGAATGTTGGAATGTTGGAATCTTGGAATCTTGGAATGTTGGAATGTGAATAGAAGAAAGTTCGCATACCTTCCTTTACGATAGGTTCTCGTATTAACGAACCCAAATTAAATACAAATACAATATAACTACTTGTTAGCATGTAGTTATATAGTTTAAGGAGGTTTTACATTCCAGCGCTCCAACATTCCAGCATTTCACACTCCAACATTCCACACTCCATGTTTTCAAGATAGCCGAAGTTAACAGCAAATCGTCCTACTGGGAGAGAAACCCTGAATTTTCCATTCAACTAAATTCATATCTTGTAGTATGTTGCTTTTAGTATGTTGTAAAATGTTTGCTTTTTTCAAAGCCATTTTCAAATTCATCTCTGGAAAAAACCAGTCGAGTCAGCGTGCAGGCTACCTTTGTGGTTCATTATCGCTTGACTGTACCTCTGATCAAATTGAACAACAACCGAAAAAGACAGCCTGAAGAAAATCATATTCATGAAATGATTCAAACAGATATTTAACTGAGCCCTCTCCTTGCAAAAAATAAAGATTTTTTTCAACGTTATCAAAATGTTACAGACAACTAAGAGAGCAAACAAGTCGAGTAAGCAGTTATTAACCATGGCCAATTTCTATGGAACATTGATTTCTCTTTTAATAATATAGTTATATGATTCAATTGAAAAAGTTGACAACCTCATGGCCTTGTTCTGTTTGAACTGCCTAAGGAAGACAAACGAGAATCGCGTAGGGAATTCTGATGAAACGAAAACCTCAATTACTTATGTAACGTGTCTCAAATATTCAATATTAGCAGCGTTGGTATGGATAAATGGAGCAGCGAAGGGAGAGCAACGGCACTGATGAATCCTTTCTCCTGATTTATACCGGGCCTATAACTCTGTAGAGTCAAAATATTCGTGCCAAAATATTCTTACTAATATTATTTAAACCAATGTTATAAGGCAAAGTTCATTAATGGCCCTTTTCTTTATTTGTCCTAAAGAAAACAAATTGTTATCTTTAAAGCCCTGGTCAAGCGCGTAGAACATTTTACCGAACGAAAAGTTTGGTGAAGATTTTGATCCAACAGCTTTTAATATTTTAAGGTGGTCAAACGAATCGAACTTCTTAGAACAATGATTTTGAATCATGTTCGGTGAAATTTTTGGCATGTTCGACCGGTGCTTTAAAGATAACAAATTTAGGAGATAGCGGCGGTCCCAAAGAATCCATTCTTGGATCGCTGTTGTTTATAGTATAACTGAAATATTTGCCTGCCAACCTGCTTGCAGATTCTACGATGTTGGCCTGCCAACCAACTGCCTTATCAAAAATAAAGTCCATTTTAGTTGATAATTAATGTAGTTCAGCGTGTTGTATGTCGAGTAATGACCAAAAATTAACACAATTATATAAAGACATTGAACGAATGAAAGCTAAGTACGACGTTTCAAGCATAACTCTTCATCAGCACGTGTTGATGAAGCGTTATGCTTGAAACGTCTTACTTACTTTTCGTCCACGTACAAGGTCAAATTCTGTCACGCGTCTATCTTAGAAGACTGTTCTATATAAGCTCAATATTGTACAGATAGACTACGAAGATCCACTAAATACTGGGATACATATTACATTAGAACCTCTGAAAACAAATATGAACTATGATATCTCAACGCACTTCTCAGTCAGCGTGATCACACGAACTGAACATTGCACTTAACAATTCTATGAACAAAGAATGATTAATGTGAGTGCCTGCGCAATGCACCGCAATGAGAAATGGAAATTTCCCGCAAAATTATTGCAAATCAAAAGGCCTTCCTTATGTTGAATAAATTACGAGCTTTTATGACAGAATTAAATGGTTTTCGTGAGCACAATATCAACAAAAATCTCAAGATATGCTTCGAGCAAAACTTGAATTTATCGCGCAAGTTAGGCAAGTGCGAGTTGAGCAAAGTTCAGTTGGAGGGTCAAACGAACTGAGCAACGCTCAACGACACCTCGAACAAAATAAATATTTAATGACTCTCTCAAAATCTTTGATCGCCCTCAAGCATCTCTGAGCAAAGCTGAGCAAAGCTGAGCAAGTGGTCAAACGAACCGAACTTTTCAATGAGTAGGCTATATATAGTTTCAAAGATAAATAGCCAAAAAATTGTCCAAATGTGTCATTAAAAGACATACCGGATACTTTCAGTGTAGCCTGCGTACAGATTTTACAAATAGATGAAATTGTAATTTCTTCTGAAAAAGTCTGCAAACAGCCAACTTTCAGTGATATAGACATGAAATTTTCCCCAACAAACTGGCGGAGAGGGTAACCGAAGGTTTTTAGCTTGTTTCTACTTTCTTGGAATAATACGTTAAGATTTCAAAGGGTGATAGAATACTGAAAGGATCCATGCAGAGAACTGGTTGACTTTACAATATAAGTTTCAATCGAAATTTTCCTGTCTAATAAGATTTACAATAATTTACTGCATGCAATAATCATGCATATAAAACTTTTGATTTTAAGGATTGCAAGCCCAAAAAATCGTAAAAGTCAGGAAGTGATTTAAGAATGCTTTTTAGCTAAAATATTTAAAAAATAAGGGTACTTGCGTTATAGTCTTGAAATCGCCGAATTTATAAGAAAAGTACAGGAACTGTGTCTAGTATTCTATAGAACATACTGGGATGTAAATTGAAACTAAGTCTAAACAGCCATAGCTCAACTCTAAGTGATTAAAAATAGGCCACGTTTGACCAGGCTGCTTCAAGGTCAATCGTGTGAAAAAGAACACAAAAAGGAATTCAAGAAATTGTACTAGAAAAGTTAAAAAAATTTTTATACAATTTATCTTTCCTAGTAAAATTTTACTGAAAGTCCTAGTTTTGTACTTCTACACTTTACAGCATTATTTATGGTAAAAACATGTTTACTTTATTAGTGGAATAATCGAACTCATTTTGAAACTGCCAATCACATCAGCCGATCAATCAGTCAGCCATTCAAGGAGCCTTGTCTTCGGACCAGATTATGTCATCCCAATAACCGCAAAAACTGATGAAAATTGATTTACAAATCAACGAAGAGTTTGAAGATTGTTGTTTTGTGGGTATCACATAAGATTGGCGTGGAAATTAAACGCTTCCCAAGCAAGATGATATTTCTTCTCATTACAATATTTACCTTGTAATACGTCTTCCTTTCAGCTTGGTTGGGTAAGCTAATTAAAGAGAAGCAAATCTGTTTGGGAGAAGAGCTCCGATTGGGAACTATTCAACTGGCATTTGGAGACGGCTGCATAATATCTCACGATAATCGATGATAAAGTCAAACATACCTAAACATCTTAATTTGAAGTATACTCTGTCAACTTTAAGCCAATAGCTAAAACAAATTCCGTGCTGCTCAGGGGGTGAGATTCTACTTAGTTGGAAAAACTTTTTAGCTCTACAGTTCTATAACGCGATTTCTACTATTTTTATCTTATATAGGTTTACACTGCAGTGTTATAATCGTTTGGCTAAAGTTGCCAGTTTACCAGCACACCAGCTGAAGCTATCCGGTGTTGTTCCTGTTATTCCGATTAAAAATTTAACACAATAAGCTACACTGGATGAGATTATTTGACTAGAATATTTGAGATTTTCACAAGTACATGCCCGTTTCAGAAGTTCGAAAAAGAGCTCCTCCACTTCGTTTTCTTCTCAAATCAATGGAACACTTCAAAACTCGATCTATTAATTCCTTTGCTACAAAACCTAGGACATTAATAGACAGAATGCTTCTGGTTTAGGATAACTTCCAATTCAGAAATTTGAATTGTTGATGGAGATTTCAGAATAACATTTGTTTGAACACCAACAAAGTGTGCAGTTGATGAGGTCTTGCCTGAAGCAATTATCTAAGTAAGCCATTGCCTAAAATACATTTTGAAAGCTTTGATTAATCTCAAGAGCAAAATTAAGAACAGACTTGACAATATCATTAAACTTCAGCAGCATTGAAGAACAACATCTTTAGCGTGCGTTTGAATAATGCATAATGAGCTCGATTTCGCACACATATGGTCCCAGGTTGTGCTAGTTTGGATTCAGCCTAATGGTTTTGACATTGTATTCCATTTTTTGATATTTTTACTAGAAAGAGGTTTTCAATATACTGATGGATGGTTTGCGTCTCTTTGGTTTTGTGGTTAAAGCACAGTTCATAATGGAAAGCTTGGTTTTGAATAAAACAAATGGGACACTTTGCTTGTTCCTCCAAGAAGGCCGTTGAAGCCGAAATGAATTGAAAACTCCTGAACAAACCCCGTTTAGGTGTGATCGTTTCTAAAAAAGCTTGTCGTCATCACCATCATCATTATGATAATAAATCAAATAAGAAATCTTTATTCAACTAGTGACAATTTAAAGTTTTTTACATGTTCAGGGTAGCAACATTTGTGGCGATGTAATTTTTGTCAAAGGGGCATTTTGATAGGTAGGCTAAAATGTTGTTAAAATACCCCAAGGCTTACAACAGGTTCACAAAATGTTTTTAAATCAAATGTATAACAAAATCGGTTTCCAATCATGTACAAAGAATAGGTATACTATATGGTGACTTTTGAAATACTTTTTATAATAACATCATCAGCGCTAAGATCGTTTGAGGCCCCAATGTCAACTTTTGTTGGAAAGCTTAGGAAAATATGCTTCATAGAAAACTTTTTTCTCTAACATTCAAAATTATTTTTGAAAATATATTTAACATAGACAGAGTTTTTAAAATCTGAGACTATAAATATGAGACTTCTGAATGAACCTTCGCTGTTAGCAAAACTCAATTGTGTGAACCCCCTTGATTTTTCCAAATCAAATCTCACATATTGTATCGCCTGTTTACGTCTTTGCGTGCACGTGTAGCGGAAATGGAACACAGCTGATAGCAATCAGAAGGAGTACACATAGATGTATATAAAGGGGTGGCTCAGCACTCTTCTTCACATTTGCAAGCAAACCAGAGGTCTTCATTGCAGCTTACCAATCATACACAGAGAAACGGTAAGTGTCTTGCGTTATCATCTATTTCCACGCTACTCAACTCACTACCTAACTTAATTGGTTACGAGTTTAGGGTTTTCCATATATTGTATCAGATGAACAGTTGATATTCACTACATAGTTGATATTCAACGCAGTTGAAGATACCATATGAACTGAATTGAGCCCTTGCTACTTAGAACCGCTTAGAACTACCACCAGCCATGATTAAATCTCTCAGCAAATATGTTTTCACAGAGTTTTCAGCGACTCAACTTAGCGTATTTGAACAGTACGCAACTACCAAAACTTCGCATCTTAGGAAGAATAAAATATATCAAGTGTCCGTCAATCAGAAGAAAAACTATTCACTATGTTTCTTGTCCTAAAGTACATATTTTTGCTATTTACACATGTATTTCCTCAAAGAATTTTCAACAATATCTCGATACACTAAGGGAAGGATGTTACTAAAGGAATGTTTTAAGCTTGAGCACTCGATCAAATTCGTGTTACATGCGCAGGTTGAGGCTTGTGGACTCAAAAATCATATACAAGATGAAGTTTCACTTTGCTTAGTGAATTTTTGCTGAATGAGTCTCCTACCAGAAGGGTTTTAAAGTAAAATCGCCACAGTAAAATTATACAACTGTGAAAACATGAAAGAAAATGTTCGGTAAACTATTCGCGAAGCGTACAAATATGAAATTCACTGAAGCTAAAAGTGTACCTGGTTCTTCTGACAGAGAACGGCTAGTACTGGAATGTAAGAATGTAAAAACTCTGAAACTAGGTATAAGGGTAACTAGCCCACCGAATAAAACTCCGATCTTAGAATACACGTGTGGCGTGGATGGACGTGCGTTTGATGCGTGGAAATTATTTTACGTACTTATATAGTCTTATAACAAATGAAGTTATTCTTACAAGAAAAATTGTGTAACTCTATTCCTTCTCTTTAGGTCAAAATGGCTTCTGGAAAAGTTTTCATAATACTGGTCCTGGTGGCACTTGTTGCCTTTGACTCAGCTAATTGCTACTTTCGTCTGGGAAGGGAAATGGAAACAAGGCATGCAAAGCAACGCTCAGTTTCCCATATTGAGCAGATGATAACAGCCAAGGTTTTGCAAAAAGTTGCCAATTGCATAGCGCAGGTAAAGTCATTTAAATGTATTTTCAAAATTACTTCAATGAAGCTTCTCAGAACAGACCAGTTAAAAAAATAGACGAAACTAAACCTGATATTGTTTTTCGATATCATCAGTTGCATCAAGTCCATAAAAACTTTGCCCATAGCTATAGAAAACACCCTAGACACAAAAACCCTTCAATGCGGTATCAAATAATTATACAATGTTTGCCTTGCGATTAATGTTTTCTCATCTTTGATACAAGTCTTTTATGAGCTTATCCGACATTAAACGCACCCTATAAGATCAAGAATTAGTCTTTGCACATCTTAAGTCTATTCAGTTCCTCAAAAATTCTGTAAACAGGCACAGAATTCTAATTGGGCCCTAGTCGAAAATCCGACTTACTGATAAACAGCTTTGAAAAATATACAATCGAAATTCTAGAAATACACCGTAATCCCAAGTAGTCTTGGTAGTCAATCCAAGTGTAAAGATCTCATCATACATTGAACAACTTCGATGAAATCGATGAATCAATATAGACAATTTAAAGATTAAAAACATAAAGTTGCAATTGAAAACATGCATAAATCTAAGGCCTATTTCTAGTTTGCCCATTCATTTACTAACTGATGTATTTTTTATGTAAACACTTCATCTTTATTTCCCGTATATATGCACCTCTATATTTTTCTGAAGTTAACATGAGTGTTTTTTCTCAGCCCTTTTCCGCGCAATTCTTTACTTTAAATTTTTGCTGTTAGCGCTTCTAATCATTTCCTGTTAATTCTTCTTGTTAAAGTTGCAACTTAAAGGCAATCTGTTTCGTTGTGGATTGGTTAACGAGAACAATAGCTGGAACAATAGCCTAAACACAATTCAAGCGCTCCGCCATATTTTTTACAATGCGATAAATTAAAGGGGGGCTGGAAACAATAAAAAATAATCAATCAACGTCGTGACAGATTGCCTTTAAAATTCTCCTGTTCTATAGTCCAGAGGAAATCTATACACATACACACTCGTTTAGAAGAATATTGTTTATTCAGGCTCAGAATCATTCAATTCTTGAGAATATTTTAAGTAAATTACTCAGCTTCAACACGAATATTTCTGCCTCATTTTTCAAATAAGAGAATAGAATTTCAAAAAACGTGGTTTCTATTCGCGAGCAAGCAATGCTTCCCTGAAATCATATCAGATTTTAAAAAATAAGAATAATTTATGAGTACATTTCGGTTTATAACGAGAACTTCTTAAGAATATCGAGGCTCCACAAAATTTTAGCATATAAAAAAGAGTGTATAAGCTTTTCGTGTATAGAACAGAACGGTTCAACTTGCTACTCTGATTTTTACTTTTAATGTGATTGGCTGGCAACTTTTAATATACAATTATTTTATTTCAAACTCATAACTCGATTAAACGCATAAAAACGATTTTTCTACTGTTTTAGGCATATCCACATCCTGCAGATGAATGACATGCTTGCCATGGGTTGACATCATCGGAATCAAGGAATTAAACTGCTTGGCAACTTATTTGAATTTTGAGTTGATTGTCATAATAATCATTATCATGTTGAAACAATATTTATAATTGCAAAATGAAAACTGCTCTTTATTTGCAAATAACTCTTTCTGATTAGATTTATTTCCTAGTTCAACATAAAAGGCAGAGAATCAGAACAAAAAAAGCAAAGAAAATAATTTCACCTTTGTCCCCCCTATAACCCTGTTCTGTATCCTCAGGGGTTCTTAATGATCTGTCAGCTGATAACTGACCCTCAAAATGTCATAAGAATATGGGCGCTGCTACTGGTATATTTTTCAAACGCGTTTATAGGAAACTAGCAAGTGGAGTTGAGTGATAACGTAGGCGCTGTTCTACTGAAAGAACTCAGGAGAAAAAGTTTGCAGATATCGTACTACAGAAACCAAACTAGGGATGAAACTTTTGCTGAAACCGCACTAATGAAACCAGACTAAGGATTCAAACCTTTTCGAGAACCGTAATTCTGAAATTAAACTAAGAATGGAACTTCTGCAGAAAACTTTCCACAGGAATCAAACTAGGTTCTGAAGGTTGAAGGATAGACGTTTATTCGAGGGGTGGGCACTTATTCTATGAGGCGCTTATTCAATAACTTCAATTATAGGGTGGGCGCTTATTCGAGGGGGGCTCTTATTTGAGGGGGTGCTTATTCAATAAGTTTACCTCTAGGGTGGGCGCTTATTCGAGGGGGGCTCTTATTTGAGGGGGCACTTGTTCGAGGCATTACGGTAGGGCCAAACACTTTGCAGGAACCAAACAATTGAATACAAGCCTGGATCGAAAAATTTGCAGAAACCTAAATACTAAAACCAAATTAGGGATGACTTTTTTGCAGATCCGTACGAATGAAACCGAACTAGGGAGAAAATTTTGTAAAAACCGTCCAACTGAAACCAAACTTAGGAAGTAAGCTTTTCAGAAACCGTACTCCTAAATCCAAGCTAGAAATTGATCCTTTGCAGAGACCGTCCAACTAAAACCGAACTTAGTAACGAAGCTTTCAGGAACCGTATTTATTAAGCAGCAGACTGGGTTCCTAAAAAAACAGCCTTGATTATAAGCAACACCCTAAAACCATGCAGAAATAATTGGTTTGAAATGCCGGACACAAAGGAAGTTATAGAACAGCCAACACGGCGAAAAAAGAGACATCTTTATGTTTCGTAAATCATTGTACCCAAAGCATTATTGTGACGACAAAATCAGTAACCCAAATCGGCAAACGTGGATCGCAGCGGAATTTTGTTCAAAATAGAAAGCAAAGTGAAAATGGATTGAAATCGTAAATCCCAAAGCAAATGAGCTACACTAGAAGAATTTATCAACATGGAATCTCAACACCAACCCCTTCAATTTTCACAACAATTGACAAGAAAGGAAGCCATATGCAAATTTGAAGTGTGTGATCTCATTGGTTAAATTAGCAAAAGCAGTGTTCTCAAAAGCAATGTTCTTTCCTCATTATAAATGAAAAAAAATTTAAAAACAATGACTAGCGAAGTTTTCCAAACCTTGAGTAGGCTGAACGTGGACCATTTTCCTTATTAAAAACGAATGTTATGACCATAGTCCAAACTTCTTTCTGTGGTCGTACGTAACATTGCATAATGTAAAAAGAAAGTAATATTGCTGATTTTTCCATTAGGCTAATTTCTCAAAGAAAATTTATGTAAACTGCCAGAGGACCACTTCATTAAGCAATTGCAATTGCAAAAAGTTTAGGACATAATCCCAGTTAATTCAGATATCCACAATATCGACAAATGTTGATAAGCAGAATGTGAAACAACTCACCGATGCATCTGATGCTTTTTCAGGAAATGCAACTATTTAACAATTGGGTTGGGTTCTATCTGTCAGCCAACTCGCTCACTGAGGACAAGGAAGCATGCAGCTTGGTCATAATTCAAAATGGCCGCCAAATGAAGACTTGTTAAATTGCACGTGAATATTTAGCGCCCTCAGCGCGTCCCGTCCCTCAAAGATGTTACTGTAAAGAAGAGCTGCTCCCTATTTCAATTAATTTGAAGAAGGAAATTTGCTAGAGAATTTTCGGACTTTAATTTTGCAAGTTTTAACAAGCAAATTAAGTTCATTCAAATTTAGTCTCTCTTAGCCAACCCTCAATAGTTACAGTGTGTGTCACGTAATTCGTTCTGCACTAGGAGTGAAATCTCTTGAAAAGTAACGTTAGTCGTTCTGCACATGGAGTGAAATCCCTTTAAAAGTAATTAGTCTTAAAATTCATTCAATCAAAATCATTTACTTTGTCTTTCATTTCTTTCTGTGTAAAAGTATATCAAGCTCGAGACCGCGTTTCTAGAAGAACGTATTCTGAACGTATTCTGTGATCCGGCCCTTAAACCATTAGAAATTATGAGTGAAAAGTTGGCACCGCCATAAAATTGAACATTGTATAATCGAGCGATACCTTATCTGGAATAATAACTCGAGCCCCCTTTCCACTAGTTAGCCTCCTTAAAATACCGCTTTTATGATTTCTGACAAATTTATAATAGGCAAAAAGTCAGTTTTCTAAAAGTCAAAAAGTCAGTAAAACTAGCGGTCACGTTGACAGTTTCAAGGTCACTCTAATATCTGAAAATATTTACAAAAATAATAGCATTGAAAATTACATCACGACAAAAAGTATGTGTGGTACACATCTGAAATTTTCTCAACGTTATCAAAGCTTTCAAAATTTCTCTCAGTCACCTTTTCTTTAAACATGATATCGTACGTAACGAAGAAATATCTTACATAGCAATAAAATATCTTACATTACGGTAAATTATCCTAAATGACTAACAATATCGTACAACAAAGTAAACTATAGTACATAACCATAAAATATCGTACATAACCGTAAAATATCGTACATAACCGTAAAATATCGTAAACAACTGTAATATATCGTATATAACTTTGATTTATAATACATAATGGTCAACTATCGTACATAACCGTGAAACATCATGCACCACCATAATAGTGACATGCTACTACACAAAAACATAAGCAAGCTGAAAAAAGCAAACTGAACATAGCGAGAGAGCAACTTGTATATTCAGAAGTTGAATCTTGGTTGAAGCTACCCCCGTCTACGGTGACAACGACGCTGGTGAAGACGACGTGTGCTTCTATCGTTACGAATTCGTCTTCCAGCAGGGTTAAACATAATTTTGAACAGAACACAAGATGCGGTCAAAAACAGCAATGGTATCCTTCTTTTCAATCGAAAATATTTTTTTGGTTGGAGAGGGTTTCAGTTGTAAAATGTCTACATTATTTGAAATTTTAAAGTCAGTTGCAATTTACAATTTTGTGTTTATAGCTTCGCCCCAACTGTAAATAAACAACATATTGGTTGTTTATACTCCAGTGAGCATCGTTGATGACAGAACAAAACTCTATGAATTTTGAATACTAAACTTTCTTGCTGTGACACAAGAATTACGCTCAAAAAGGGTTCTTCAATCGAAAGATCCATTATTGTTATTTACAACTGCGCCAACTGGCTGGCAATTTTTGATTTCTTATCCCATCTTTCATGGTCACCGCCTGAACAGCATTCTTCCGTACAGTCTGGTATGCAAGATCGTGGGCATGAGGCAGGGCAGCTTGGTGCGGCCGGTGGTGGAGGTGGGAGCATTGGTGGTGGCGGGGGAGGAGCTGCACAGCATGATGGTTGGCACTGCGGGGCACATTGCTGTGGACAGGCAGGACCACAAGTCATTTGCGGGGCAGGCATGACAGGGAGAGGAGGAGCAGGTAGGTTAATGACCTGGGGTGGCAAAGATACGACTCTTGGAGGCTGGTTTGCCTGGCAGCAACTTGGTTGACAAGCAGGAGCACATGAAGGGGCACACTGAGGACCACATGGCATCTGAGGAGGTAACATTGGGGGAGGCATCATTTGTGGAGGTGGAGCTGCCATCATTGGTGGCATCTGGGGCATTGCAGGGGGAGCTCCACAGCAGCTTGGTTGGCAGGCTGGGGCACATTTAGCCGGGCAGGCTGGTCCACAAGGGCTTGGTGGCATGGCAGGAACAGGGGGTGGCATTGGTGCTGCTTGACAACAGCTTGGTGAGCATGCAGGCGCACATGATGGCGCACAGGTCATTCCACATGGCATTGGGGGTGGTGGAGGAGCAGGAACGGTGATCTCCATTGGCTTCATCCATACATGTACTGGTTGCTGGCCGCAGCACTGAGGCGAGCATTGTGGAGCACACTGCTGTGGGCATGGGGCTGGGCAGCGTGAAGGCATCGGCATCTGCATCGGCATCGGAATTGGCATTGGTGGAGGTGGTGGCATCGGGGGTGCTGCTGCACAACAACTTGGTTGACATTGTGGTGCACAGCTTGCTGGGCATTGGGGTCCACATCTTGGGGGCATCATAGGTTGAGGGACCGGTGGCGGCAGTGCTGTACAGCAACTTGGGGTGCACTGTGGAGCACAATTAGCAGAGCAAGCCAAACCACATGGAGAAGGAATTCTTGGTGGTGGAGGTGGTGGCATGGGTGATGCTGCACAACAGCTTGGACTGCACCGTTGTGGAACACATGACGGTGAACAGGATGGCCCGCAAGGGGACTGTGGCATCATTGGAGGTGGCGGGGGCATCATAGGTGGCATCATAGGGGGTGGTGCTGGCATTGCACTGCAGCATTGAGGGCTGCAGCGTTGTGGTGCGCACATAGGATTACAGCTAGGACCACACGGCATTGGAGGTGGCGGCGCAGGTGGCCTTTGTAGAGCAGGGAGAAGATGCTGTGGTGGTGGCATTGGCATAGCAGCACAACACCCGGGATTACATTGCTGAGGGGCACATGACGGAGAACATGATGGACCACACGGCATCATTGCTGCAGAATAGGCTGCCGCACAGCATTGTGGACTGCAAGAGGGCGCACAAGTCTGAGGACAACTTTGTCCGCATTGGCTATAAGGGGTGGCTGGTGGAAATATCTGCTGGGACGGCATGCGAGACGCTCCTTGGTATCCGGGAATACAGCAACGAAAGTCACACTCAGGCATACAGGTGTGTGCACACTGTGGGTCGCAGAAGCCAGGGCTTTTTGGTTTTTTTGACTTTTTCTTTGCCCTCTTCTTGATCTTAGAACCTAGGTAAATTATAAAGAGTGTTTAACGTGAATGAAATAGGTCAGGTTAAGAACCAGTTGCTGATAGTGTCAGTCTTCTATTCAATTGCCACAAATTCCTTCTTTTCATGGTTTTAAAGAACAGCTATTTTGCTGAAACTGGTTACTCGTACAAAAATTCTGGTTACCTGTTTTATCTCAGCCGCCCCTCCCAGTATTTGAAAAAAAGTGAACAAATACATATAGCTTCGCACTAGTCGTGCCCATCAACGAGGGCGTGGGGACAAAATAAAAACTTAGACGATGTCTATTTCATTGTCAAAAGCAATTTTCATTGCTCTTGCACCAAAAGCAAAAACCTAGATTGGAGCATCCAACCAATAGGAAGCACCTGCTCTTGCCAATAAGAGCTAATCATTGATTAAGAAATGTGAGTTTTAAACCATAGAATTAATTCATGAATGCGTTTGTCAAAGTTATCAATTCCCAACATCATCTATTCTGAATTATAAAACCGAAGAGCTGAATAGGAGACACGACAAGCAACGAAAAACATTTCAAACCTAAAGTGTTTAATCAAAGAAAGACAATCTGATGGCCCCAATAAGGTGTGAGAGCTTCTTTGTGGGAATTGGCTGTAAGCAGTGGCGTCGCTTGATCTTCCAGACTAGAGGGCTGGCCATTACACGATTTAATATACACAACATAGAATCTTTAACATAAATGCAAGCAAGAGCACAGCCCTCCTCCTAAAAGTTTGGGTCGGCACCCAGTGGCGTACCCAAGGGGGAGGAATAGGGGGGTCCGGACCCCCCAACTTTTCTAAAATATGACCCTCAAGATTTGTCCAAAAACGATGTAAAACTCATTGGGGGGGGGGGGTGTAGTATACTGTATGCTTGTGTCAATAACAATTGTAAAATACTTTGCTATTTACCGTAGCTAACATGAATCAAATAATGGGGGGAAATTTTGAAAAAGGACGTTTCCCGCATTTGCGAGTGTTTGAAGGGCGTGGTCCAAAAAAATTTCTGGGGGCTGCACCCCAGACACCCCCACTACTGCAGCCCTGGATACGCCACTGTCGGCACCCCCGCTTAAAGAGGACAACTAACGTTTGGTTCCGTAAACATTAGACCACCATCCACTTTTTAAGTAATTTATTACATACTAGGAAGCTGACTTTTGCAAAGTGTGGAAAATAAGAAATGTACTTACGGACATCTGCAAATGAAAGTGGCTGAGGAATTTGGTATCGTTTGTCATTCCTGGAACCTGCGTTTAAGTAGAACAAGCAAATTTATAAGTATTATTAACATGAACAAAGACACTTTTTGGAAAGCTTTTTAAACCAAAGCCAAGGTCAAGAAGAAGTAAAGATTGGAGACGTGTTCGTACAGTAGCTAGTGTATTAAAACGCACATTAAAAAGCCTTCATTTGTCAAAAGAAGCCGGCTTAAAGTCTGAAATTATTCATTTTTTTGTACCAACCATATTCTAACGATTTTTGTTGGATCCCCTAAATCAGTTTTAAATAAAGGGCTTTGAAATTTATTTGCTTCGGAAGAAATGCATTGTACTAAAATTCAATTTCAAAACATCTCAGGCTGATGGGAAAAACAGTTGGAATATAAAAGAACTTTGAGGAAGAAAAAGGAAGAAATTAGCTGTAGCCCTGGACAACTAAGAGATGATAAAATGTTACGCAAAAGACTGAAGAACTATGTCTGATATCAAAGATATGTAATATGCTTCTATTCAGTATTAAACCTTAAACTGTCCTTTATTTTTCCAGCATTCTTTTCTGTGAAACTTTAAAAGCCTACAGCCCTGGGTGGATAGAAATAAGCATATCCACCCCTCCCATCATTGAATGTCGATCTGCTACAAAAATGGCGTGAGAGGGCAGACGTTAGAACATTCATCAATGCACACCCCTTCAACAGATTTGCCAAGAGCTGGAGGTCCTGATAATTAGATGTGCCTCGACTTAGAGGTATCGAGGCATGCTAAGTATATAAAAATGTAGCTTCGTATGTCCGTAAACATGTTTATTAGAACCAAAATGCTAAATGAACATATGCTTTGATATATTTCTTCGAATAAACTTGATTAACTGCAGGGAAATAGCCAGTGAGGTTGTGAGAGGGAGTGTAGGGAGAGCAAACAGAGGAGAAGCTAATAGAGGGCTGAGAGAGGAGATGGACGAGACACAATCCCCCCTTTCTGTGAAAGCTTAATTGATGTAAATCTAGGTACTAAAGTCATCTCAGTAATTTTCTCTTATAACTGTCCTGGCTTCGTCTCTGGTGCATTGCATATTTCTATCGAGAAATGATAAGGCGAAGATAGCAAGAGACATTATTTATCATCATATTTTTTTAATTTGAAGAAACCTACATATAATACTCACCCTTTTTGCTCGCTACAGCTTTCTTTGAAACTGATGGCTTTACAGTTCCCCGCTTAGAAGCTAAAATGTATAACGAGGATGCACAAATCTATGTAAGGTCAATATATCATTCAAATGCACAATTTGAAGATACACGCTCTTAAAAATCCTCAAAATGTAAGAAGCATACGACTTTCTTCTAGAGAAGACAAAGTTTAAATTGAAGAAAAAGTAATTACAAGCACTGCCAGTTACACAATTAAGGTTCCAAAACTTTGTTATTGTTTTCTTTCTTAAAACCAGCTTCTAGAGCACTTCATCTTTGTTTATAACGCCTATGCTATTACCTTTAGGCTTAGCTTGTGGTCTTGAACTTTTCTTTGCAGAAACCTTTGGTGTTTTTTCTAAGAAAGGAGAAAAATAATTGAATTGCGAGAGTAACATAAAAGTAATATCATTTTTATTTTTCGCAAATCTACATGTTTATTTTTCGATGATCTTTTGTTTCTTGTTTCGTTTATGTTACACTTTCCTTGCTTCACTATGACACGCAATTAAGCCAGTTTTTTCGCTTTTTTCTGTATTTTTCCTTCGTATTTTTTCTCTTTACCTTCTTCTTCGATTCTGTTTATTTCTCACCTTTTCGTATACATTGTTCTTTTTAATGAAATTATTCCCTTCATAGTTCAAGATCGCTGCTGAGGGCAATAACTTGTTGAAAGGGCCAAGCCTCTGTTTTTATAAAACAGAAACACTTGTCTTGTATCTACACAAATCAAGGTCTTCAGGGCTTGTGGGCCCTCTCCGAGCTATACCCTGGGTACCAGACTATAGTGAGTCTGGTACCCAGGGTATCCGAGCTAGTACCATAAGCTGCTAACTTCTTTCAATCCGCCCAAAAACGTCCCTTATTTTAGAATGCAACTTAAATGAAAAAATCAAAATTATTTTTGATTGTTGATTCTGATAGAATAAACATCGCCGTTTTTAAAAATTCAGGTTTGTTTGTGTCTTTTTTAAAGTTCGGTTTTTCCATTTGGGGCTCGTAAATAGGGGTTCTAGGGTTTTTTGATAGTAGGCCGTTCGGCAAGGGACGGGGAATGGCTGAGAAGATCAGCCATGGTGAAGGCTGAAGGCTGTTATGTTAGAACACAGAAATTGTGATGCAAGCATGAAAGCTGATTAAGACTGGCAGAAACTTGGTATGGATGGGCTGTTTGAAATGCTGAAAAATGAAGAATGTAGATCCACGCCGGAAAATGCCTCCTTTATAGCCTGTGACACTAAGTTGCAGACTGCAAAAAGTGTAGTGCTTATTATTTATTAATGAGAAAGTTGCTAAAAGCTTGGCAAAGTGTGTAAAGTGCATAGCAGGAAGGTGCCGGTCACTGTGTTGTGTGTGTAATTACAAAAAAGATAAACTTGATAAATTTGATTCATAGAACCAAAACTTGCTCTACTAAGTTTTCTCATAATCTTTATACCCAGCTGCAAAAGCTCTTCTGATTTTACATGCTAGAACCATCCTTTCTAGAAGTAAACTCCGTCTGAACAGCCATGAAAGTGCCCTTTCGGGAAACGACCCCTTCACTCAAAGTTAAGAGAACCATTGCGATCAAAAGTCGAATAAAATAGGAAGGATCGGCATGAAGTCTGCGTACAAACTGCACCTACATAGTTTGCTTTTTGCGTATAGGTCTGAAACGCTTGTACTAAAATACCTGGCGTATGGTTTATAATTATGTAGAAGCAGCGGCGGCCTGGTGTCATAATTGCAGTTTGGCTCTCAAGCCGCACCCATGAGGGTCTGGTTGAGCGACCACACCCACAGAAGTAACAGCCTTAAGAATACTTTTGTTTGAAATCAGTTAATTGATTGCTGGTAGTATTTGTGATGCAGTTTGTGCACATTTTGTAGTTTGTGTGAATCAGTTAAACGTCCAAGCTGTGTCTTTTTAACTTCTTATTACTACGTGCAGAATTTTTAACATTCTTTTTTGTTCATTTTGATTATTATAACTGTGGAGTTTAGGTGTAAAAGACTCGCTAGAGCTGGATCAAAATGTACAAAGAACACCGTTTTCGACAAATATACGCAGGGTATCAGGAGGCATTATAAATAATCTACTGACATGATGAAATGACAAAAAAAAATTTTGTGGAGAAAAGTTAAATGAATTTCATGAAAAAGATCTCTAAACCGAAAACACTTGCAGACAAACAGTCTTCCTGTACTTAAATTGTTGTTGTTTTATCTGCTGCAAAATTTGTTGCTGTTGCTGCTGCTCCGGTTGCGTTACAGAAATCATTTGATGTTGTTGGTTTCTAATAACTTTTTCATGCTCTCCTCTCATTTTCCTCTCCTTTTGCTCTCTTTCAAACTGCTCTCCCTTCTTTTCATTATCTGCTTCCTTAATTCTAATCTTTATCTCATTTTTCTTTAACTTTATGTCTTCTTTCTCAATCTCATACTCAACCTCAATCGCAGCCATTTATAATGTAGGCGTCAAAACTTTAAACCATGTGTTTTACAGAAGGCCTTTGACATGGTTATTTTGAAGATGCATAAAATGCAGATACTCGTATACCATATCCCAAAAGTATAGATGAAAACAAGACGTTTAGATGCAAGACAGGTGTACGACAGGGATATATGCTAGGTCCACGATTGCTGAATTGTCAAACGGGTGGAATTGAACTGGTTGTTAAGTGGGTAAACGTGATGCACAGCTTCACGACTGTAATGATAAGACATTGTAGTGTTTGGTAGCTTGATGGGCGACTTGTACTGACCCTTAATTTCGCATAATTTATTATTCACAATTGTTATTATTTGAAGAATTTATATTATTTGTTTTGGAACTTAAGTAGATATTTAGATAAAGAGAAAATAAATTTATTAGAAGTTAGCAACATTCATGTTCTCACACTTTTTGTGAAAAGGCCCCGTCATCAGTTTTTCGTTTAAAAGCAAAGGTCCGGGTGGCGATCGCCACTTTGCCATCCGGGCCCGATCGCGCCTTTGTAGAAATTATATTGAGTGCACAAGAACCGAAAATTTCCCTCCACTGAGCGAGTTTTTGTTTTCCATCCTACTTGAATAGCTAAACAATGGTAATTAATCCCGAGTAAAACTCCCCCTTCGGTTTCACGGGAACTGACTTGACAAAAAATCATCAATAGAAAACTTACAGACAGCAGGATTTTTGAAGATAATTAATAGAGAGTGCGGGAAAATAACCGACCCGAGCGAGACTCGAACCCACGACCCCTGACTTTGTACGTCAAGTGCTCTACCGCTGAGTTATATCTTTTCATTTCAGTGGCACATTAAAGAGAAAATAGCTTGAAAATTCGTAAATTAATATAGCAATTAAAAACTAACCATATCGCTGAGCTTCTTTGGCAAATTCTCTTCGAAACAGGTCTTTGTCCTTATCATCTAAGCCACTAATGAGCGAATCGATATTCATGTCTGAAAAATTAGAATTTCATTCAATATAGGTTATAGAAAATAACTGTTCATGTGGAAATTATATTGCATTTGTGTACCACATTGATTTATTTAAATTTTGTTAAAGAAGATTGATTATAGAAGATGACAATTGATTTGAAAAATCAATAACAAAACGTGAGTGCTGTTGCATAGAAGGATGTGTTTGTTTTTTGAAGATTTTATAAATTTCATGTAAATTAAGAATTCATTTTTTGTCAAATAAAAATGTTAAAATAAAATTCAGTCTCTGAACTTGATTTTTAACAAAAGTAATGCTTTTGTTAACGCTTAGCCTTATCTTATAACTGTAATCTCATTATATTGTGAGGAGACAGAGATTCATTGTTCAAGTGGGGGAAGGCAAAACCTCCAAAAAAGCAAATTTGCAAACAAATGACTAACTTTCTCTCAAGTTCCTGAGTATAGGAAGGAGGGTGGGGGTAAACTCTATTTTTCAGATATCTTGCATACCCATTTCCATTTATTGACACCCCTCCAAATTATGTATTTCATACAAAAAGTCATAATCCCCCCCCCAAATTAAACATAATTTCAGAAAATCTAAGCACTTCAATCTATCATGACCCCCCTGCTGCCAACCCCCCTTCTTATAAGACCCCCCAACAATTAGGAACTTGAGAGTAACCGATAAATGCACTAAAACTGTGTTTACATTGAAGCTCTCGCTCTCACCCCCCCCTCCTCCAGACCTCTGCAGTTTCCGTCCCTGATGCATAGTAGGTAAACATTGGATTGTTCTTTATATACTCTATTATTTATTATTTATATACTCAGTTATTATCCAAGTATCCAATCTTTTGATGCAACAGGTCCATAGTTGGTACATATAGAAGGTGCAACTAAAGCTGCCACTTAAGAGCAACAGACCTACCCTTGTTGTTTCCATCGTGCCTCCGAGGCGGCTTTGATTCGACATTTTGTAACACAACAACAGCAATTAACAATGTCGCTGCGAGAAGGCTCCTTGTGATCATATTGGTATATCTATAGCAAGAATGATTCGTATTTTGGTAATTATAAATTTGTTAAAATACAACAACAAAAATTCGATTATAAGTTTACTTTAAGTGTGTAGAATGTTACTATTACAGGTTTTAGCTACTAACATAACTCAAGTCGCCTGTGTCTTCTGCAAAATACACAAAAACTATGTTTTCTTTTGCAGTGCTAGTGAGTAGATAGCGAAACCTAAGCAACCATTTATAAAAGAACCTTTGTGTGTGAATAAATTGATGGAAAAGGGAAGGGGCTCAGTAGGCTGAAAAGCGTCAAAGGTTGCGAGTACCGTAAAACCTCTATTAAGCCCCGTCTCTCAAACCTTCCCCCCTCTCTATTAAGCCCCCGCTCTATTAAGCCCCCGCTCTATTAAGCCCCTCCTTATCAAGCAAAAACTTAAAATTAACCCCCTTCTCTATTAAGCCCCCCTCTTTAGCCTTTGTTGTCAAACAAAGAAAATATGCGCATTTAGTAGTTTTCTTGACGGGTGTGATGATAATAAGATCGTGTGCATTAAATACGGCCCATGTAAAGACTTACTTGGGCGCCTAAAAAGTCAGTCGAAATTTGTTTAGAAGATGTCCCAGGGCTATCAATTGATTCTGGTGATTCTGATGAAGATAAGGGCCTTATAATTGATTAATTAGACTTTCGAAGCTGCTAGCGAAGTTTTCTGAGGACATTGGTATGACATTTTTATAACAAAAACATAGACGGGGGCATATCTAAAACATTTTTTACTTCAAATTTTTAATAAGCCCCCTCTCTCTAATAAGCCCCCCCCTTTTTATACCCCCCTCTAGGACTGAAAAAGGCCCGCCCTGGGGGCTTAATAGAGCTTTTACGGTAACCTTTATATATTGGAGGCAAATTTTTGCAGACCTGGGAGGGTTAAATCAACATGCACGTGAACACGAAATTAGTTGTGTTTAATTTCGCATATTACATAAAAGGGCTAAGAAACCTACTGCCATGACGGATAGGGCCCACGAACTTCAGGTTAAAAACTGAGATAACACTTGTTCAGTATCAGATCTGGGGACAAGCACGTGCCTACGGAGCGTTTTTGTCAATTTTCGTCATCTACATCAAAAGCTGCATATCTGACGAAATGAACTATCAAAGTAATACAAAAGAGCAACATGATTTGGGGCGTGGTTAAGAGTTGGCGGCATTGAATAGCGGGAGCGGCCTTAAAAGAGGGGGCATTAGCTATCTCTGTTGACAAGAAAAAGGGTTCACCTTTTGTGTTAATCACCATTTGTAAGAAAGATGTTTTCTGAAATTTAGGACATGGTTCTTTAGCCGGAACATTAAAGAAATCCGGAACAAAAGCTTGTTTACTTGTAATTGTATCCTTTTTTGATTTTCACAATTTGCACGTAATTTCGTCGTACACAATGTTATCGTTGAAAGACCACGATGCAGCCCAAAATGAAAGACCAAAGCCGAGATATTGAGCGTTATAATTCCAAAATTCATATTCATCGAATTGTAATCTAAGCTTAAATTAAGCAAAAGCTTTGAGCTGAGAAGGGGTTGGAAGAAACGTGCTTCAAATTGATACATAAGTAATATGATATTGAGAACCAGATAATTAATCATCCATTGTGTGCTCACTGCACATTTCATAAACATTATTTCATAAACATTGTTAATAGAAAACAAAAATTGCTTGCAGAACTCAGGTAGTGGTAGAATGCATGAAGCTAGACAAAGAAAAAGAGTAAACATATTAAAGAAATATTTTTATCTCACCTTCTGTGAATGTTGCTCTCTTTTCTTTATAATCTTTGAGACAATACCGGCGGAACCTTGATCATTGCAAAACAAAAAATCAAACAGAACGCTGAATGAAGATCAAAGGTTACTGGCAAGTAAATTGATGCGCTGTATGCTCAACCTGTGCTATTCAAACAAACAAATACAAACACCTGGCCTATTAGAACAGAATATTAGAAAATATACAAATATAAACGCAAAATATTTTCACTGCTTAGCGTATCTTGGACTGCAAGGCGTGCAACTTTGTTATGCTGTTTTTTTATTACATGCACTGCAGCAAAAGATAATGTGTTCACTAGAAGATTGTTCTTCAGCAGTAATCGATGCCTGCTCACGCATCCGTGACGGGCCTTGGTACACGCAAGCACAGGTTCAATTAAGCGAACTCACTGGCATTGACCGGGCCTTAATGTTTCTATTAATTGCATGATACGGGTCAAAAGAATGCTCGCCTTTTAAATATCACCAGCGTATACCACAATTAGTGCCTTATGAATAAACCTTTATTCAGTTTTATTGGCAATGGCATCATCAACAAAAACGGCTCCAAGCATCGTGGGCATTTGATGCTTTATGAAACTGCATAAAGTGGGTTAAGAGAATCCTTCAAATCGGTATTACAGTACAATCTCCATAACTCGAATCCCTGATAACTTAAATGTTCATTAATTCTACCTGTTTTGCACTTCTTTCGAACCCCAGTATGTCCGAGCACAAGATAACTCGAATATTCGTAAACTTGCACCATTTTCATCGTTTCTGGGTTCGAGATATCGGAATTATACTATATATCATTAATTTATACCTAAGATAGTGGGTTGGAATAAGAACTATATTGAAAAGTTATAATGGTAGGTAACAATGTCATCTACATAACTGCTGTCGGGAAAATCCTAGGCAAACACGTACAACGCATCATACACGTAATCAGCATTAAATTTGAGGGGTCGGGGAGGGGGGGGGGGTGAAAATCTAAACACCATCTCCCCATGACTGTATACCTTAAAGTAATATTCGGTTCAATTCAGAATCTGTTCAGAGGGAACAGTGCCAATTAGCGGGGACACCACTTGTCTAAGCCAACGACCTAACAAGGTAGGTAAATCAGCACCTGTCCTCTATCATTAACCCCCACACGTTTACAATGGGCACTATATGCTGTTAACTGTACACGAGTCGAACATCCAAATCGTATGTGTGAAAGCACATGTTAAGACAACGCAGAACACAAATTACTGCACTAGCAGCATCACCATTTCCTTACAGTTTGATAAAACATTTCTTTCCTTTTGTATAAATTGGTATATTTTTATAATCATTTCTAGCACTTTCTCTTCGTGTCATCCTGAAGCAAAAGATATTCCAAAAAACATTTCATGGCCTTATGAGCGGTTGTTATGTGCTTTTATCGAATAAAACCATTATGTTCTATTTTTTTTCCCAGTAGTTATCAATGGGCCGACACTCTCCCTGAGGCTATAATGCTCTCAACTGGTCCTAGAAACCTAGAAAGGATCAACCTTTCATAGCTATAGTTTAGTCTGGGGCCGATTTGTTTAAAATATTGCGGAGGATTGTGACACACCCACACCACTAGTTTGTGCCCCCGTCAATGATCATGGACAATTCTATGGAAACAGAAACAGAAAATTGGCGTAGAAACTTGATGGCCTCTAAAATTAGACACACTTTACCAAACCATTAAATCTCATATATTCTTTTCTTAAGTTATGTGCAAGTTCCGCGATATGTGCAAGCATTGAATCAAAAATATTTTTTGATAAAATTTTCTCTACTTTTTACTATTTTACCCCGGTTCTTCTTTTGGTAACTTTAATTGAGACACATCTTAATTTGTATCAATTTTGTATGCCTTGAAAGGAAAAATAATCTTCCTTTTGTGACTTTGAGGAAGAAATGAGGAACAGAAGCAGTTGTGTAAGGAAGGCCCACCTCAAGAAAGAACTGAGACCTGGGGCCTCTACTGTCCCATCCAAGGGTAAATAGCATCTCAAACATCAAAATATGTAAAATTATGGGGAGGTTAGTTACAAAAGCTTCAGCAGAAGAGCTTTAAAAGTTTTGAAAATGAGTTGAAATTTAACGAAGTCTTCAAAATATGGATGCAAATACAATTTGGGGACCCCCTTAGTTATCAAACAAAGTTGTCATTAACCTTGTTACATCACTGAACAGAAGCAATTTGATGATTGCTAATGACTGCAAGAAAAAATCGTCAGAAAAAGGAATGAAAATCCAAGAAACAGTGTCAATAAACATGCAATACAACTAGGAGTGCTCTTATGGCAAATCACATTTTAAAAAAACATAGTCGGAGGATGAAGAAGTTCAGCCAGGACAGTCAGATTTTAGTACGAATGTGATCTTAAAATATCAAACATCTCCTTTAAATACTTTTATAAGCAAAGTTGAGATGGGATTTGGCAGTCTAAGGAAGAAGCCCCTTTTCTACAGATATGCAAGATGATATGCAACCTTCAACACTTTTGTTACCCAAAGGATTAAATAATTTTCTGCCAGAGGCTGGTCAATTTTCAAGATGCCAGCAGTTGTTTAAAATAAAATTGCTAGTATGGAAATAAATATAATCAAAAGCTTATAAAGATGTTGCAAATACCCTGGCCTTAAAGTCATCCCAGATACCACTTGGTTGCTTAAAAATTACTACATGTAAAGCTGGAAATAGTTTAAGCTGGAAGCCAAAATATACGAACATGATTTGAGTAAAAACACAAACATCCAAAAACCTCAAGTGTAGACAATTTTCTAATTTATAAGGAGATATATTTATTAAAGAGAGAGTGGATTCCTTACATATAAATCACCACAACTAAATTGAGTAATACCTCATAACTTTAATTTTTGAAGAATGTTTAAAAGTTACTTCAAAAGTAAAATGTCAATCAGTAATGGTAAACTAATAGCAATGATGATGGCTTTGAAAAAAAGCAAACATTTGAGTATACTAATTTAGAGCATAAAATGTCTGAAGAGTGTCAGACAAAAAGCTTTGCTATACTGAAATGTTTGCTCTTTTCAAAGCCATTTTCAATTTATGTACCACCAAAAGAAATAATAATCTAATATAAAGTGCCAATATCTGGCATTGCCGTATTATCTTTTCTTTTTACAGGACAATTCATTTAAAGATCTAGGAACGTCCACTTCTATAAGCCTTCTTGCTGATTATTGATGATCCTTTGGACCTGTCCATAAGCAATGCCAAAGACATAGCCCAAAAAAATGGAATTCAGAAACTACTTATCAAAGTTCAATGCACCTTTGCTTGCCAATCCCAGATATAACAAAGCTGCAATGCTCAAATATTTGTTGCATTTTGTATGAGAGTGATATTGTCTCCTTTCAGTAAAATGCGACCTAGGCAAAAAAGATCCAATGTCTATTACAAGTGAACGAGGGCAAAGTAAGAATCCTGAAGAATATACCATTAGCAAGATTTCACTTTGTTGAATTATTTCATATTAGCTTCAAAAGCCAGTAAATGCTGTCTCAGTGACTAATTTACTAACTAGATATGTTATTTTGCTGTTCTACACAAAATATTTCATACAAGATTTTCAAAACTTATATGAAAATTATCAGAGACAATAACACAATAGCAAATTGGCTGAAATACGGCCACATAGGCAAAGTGTGATTCCCCACCAAATCAAGAAACTTTGCTTCTGTTAGAAAATTTACAAACCAAGCTCAAAGCTGATAGAAATCTGTCAGCAAAGTTTAATTTTTTTGATTGCCCATTAAGGTTATGTTGTCAAAAGTAGAAATATTCAAAAATAAATACAATAAATGGCATGCCTTAGAACTCTATACTCTTTACAAGAAGCTTCAGCTTCATAAAATGTGAGCAACAGTAGATTAGTGAGCAATAATACTGCTATTTAGTGCTAGGAGACTGGCAAAGCAGCCAGCCTTGGCCCAAAATTCAAACGGCCATGACTCTGAAACAAAGGAAGGTTATATTATTTTCCAAATATTTCAAAATTTCCTTAGTTATGCCTTGTGGGTCCTCCAAATCATTGATATCTTGGGTCATGATTCTAGTTCCTTGATTTTATGAGGAATTGCCCAAGCATCATAAGGGCATATGTGGGATAATAAAGATGCCTCTCTTGATCAAGACCCTTTGGTTAAAATGCAGTCTCTGCAAAGGATATAGATCATTTGCTTACCAAAACAAAAGTTAAAATGCAACTTAGAAAAGGACTTTGAACCTAGATATTTCTCAATACCTTTGAATGGAAAGTATTCATTAACGGGATATATCTGGATAAGCAGTGGCATAATATCAGGCATCTGGAGCCTTTGGGAAAAATGGAGACAGGATCCCTAATTTTTGACTGTCAAAAGGTCTCATCCAATGGTGTTGAGCATGTCTAATATAATGGCAAGAGGCAAAACTGATAACGTCTTATTAACTAGAAGGGGGGCTCATTTACATGCTTCAAAGCATGGGTATAAACAAATTTTGCTATCCAAGATGGCCTAAGCTATGTTATGCCACTGTGGGTAAGATATAAAGACATATATCCTTATGATAGTAAAAAATGCATTACCTATTGGTTTCCTTGTTTTAGTTTTAAGGTGAACCTCCTCAGCTTCATCAAGAACCAAGTTCATGTACTCATCAAAACCCTGTAATAAGAATGGAAACAAATATTGAGAACAGAATCTTGTCTAAAAATGAAAGCTACGTATCTACATATCTTGAATGCCAGTTATATGTTAATTTTAATATGCAACATTAAATTAGCAAATTGTTACAGTTTTTGATACAACATATAAACTATTTTTAATTAAAAACACTTACAATAATATGTCCTTCAATTCTCATCTTTGTTTGTTCATATAACCATATCTGAATTCTTGCTCTCTGTAAACAAGTAATAAAGGGTCTATTAAAATCATTCAATTACTTTAAAATACTCAAGCAAGCAAAAGAATCAAACAGCGGTAACTATTCAAACTGTGAAATCATAGGTTGGGAGACAGTATATCAGGCAGGTCATATGAGGAAATATCTAAAGGGTGATCAATTGCCTACATTCTTCAGTTTTTTCAGTCTAACAAAACTTTCATTCTCTGCAAAATACTTATTATCATCTGCAACAAAGAACAACTTTTTTTGCTGAACTATAAACTCAAGCTATAGAAACTTAAAATAAACCACATCTTTCTATGATCCTGGACAAAATGCATTCATCCAAGGTAATTTCATGTACAAAGATATTTTGTCAGAAACTTCATGGTAAGTTACATAATGAAGAAACTGTGTCTATTGCTGGTTTGTGTCAACAGGACTTCACCGTATGATATGATCTTGAAAATTTTTCTTGAAGCTCTGACATTTTGGCAAAGAAAATAGAAGAAAGGCTGCTTAAACAAAAATGTGAAATACATTAGTGAAAACTGTAACCTATTTTTTCAGGGTGCATTCCATGCACCTAGGGCACAGTGGCGGCCGCCCCTACAATACTTTAGAAGACAATGGTGTTTTGTTCCAAAACAATGGGAAATGTGACATCATCTTATTAAAACAATAGTCTTGCCCCCCCCCCCAATATTTGACCAAGTGTCTGCCCCTGCTAGGGCAGGCAAATTTTAGTGTACAAACTCACATTCTTCAGCAATACTGTAAGAAATTTTAATGCAAACCTAAAAAATTGTTGTCCATTAACATTTTAGTCCTTATTCTCTGGGCATGGTGTGCATTGGAAACACATTGGGGGAAACCTTTAAGCAAGGTTTACATTTAATGCATCTTTGCTTACCTTCTGTCTAAGGTTTACGAGGAAGGTCCAATTGGTCAATGTTATACAGCACATTGAGTTATAAACATTTGAAAATAAAAACTAAAAAATTAAAGAACAGAAAAAAGTGTTAAAAAACTCACATTTTGTAAATACCTGAAAATCAAGTTCTGAGCTGAAGTCAAGGAAAAAAGCAATAAACACAATAGTTTTGATGGACACATTATTTGTGAGACAAGCTTGTCAACTCTCTGAGTTTTGCTGGGAAACTTAAAGGTTTTCCTTGCATTCTTCTGGTCTCCCAGATTTTTAAAATTTTCTCCCTGTTGTCTACTTTTCATTTAGTATCCTTATGATAAAAATGAATACAATGACTCTCTTTGTGACAAATTTTTAAAAAACACTTAAAATCATTATATTTCTCGTTTTTCAGTTCAGTTCAGTTTTATTTTAAATTCCACTGGATACATACACTTGTTTCAAATTAGAAATAATATAAGCTTAAAAGTATAAACAATGTAAAAGGAAGTTAAATAATATAAACGTAACATAACAAATACAGAGTAGAGAAGAAACAAGCTAGTATTGTAAACAGGGAATTATTTAAAGGAGGAAACTTTCTCAGTAGTTTATAAACTAATCGAGGATTTTACAGATATGTTGTTAAGAAAATATGATTAACGCACGATAAGTGGTCCTATCAGATGCAATAATTTTACTGGGTGACTTTTTCAATATTTTGAATTCAACTGAAATTATTTACACGAATACTCTACTTGAATGAAATCTGTAAGTCCCCAGAACTGTATCTAGGCCTCTACAAAACGATGGGTTGGTAGGGTAATCAAAACTCAGCTGCTATCTTCATCTAGAAATAAATCAAACTAAAAGGATACAATTGGCTGAACCATCACTTTTTGTACTTTTCCTTTGGAAGCCATGATGCCCGATATGTTGTAAATGTCCCGCAAGGTTGTTCTGCAATACTTTCTTCACTTCTCTTACAATCGGTGTACTCACGTTTCCCGCGAAGCCATTATGAGAAAACAATGGCATCATGGGAATTTTGTAGGTGCATGATGGGAAATCAAGCCTCTTTTCCAGGCAACAACTCGTAAGTCCTCGAAAGAACGCCCCAAGCCCAAATTATAATGAGCGCCCCCTTGAAGCAGTCGATAGTCTTACAAGCGACCCACCTTCAGATGTGAATCTGTATGTCTATTGTTTGTGAAGAGGATATTGAGGAGAATTGCTGTAATGACTGAGAACTAATATTGTTCTAGGTTATCTTCGGACAACCACATGTTCAGTACATAGTAGTACAGTCCATCTGTAAAGCAAATAATAACGATTCAATGCCCCTACTCGAATGCAAATATTCATCAACTCTGTACCATGATTGTCGAAAATATAATACAGCACTGAGTACAGTTTTTTCAAACATGACCTACCATACCCAAATACATTTAAATATACCCCCAGCATCTTACAAGCAATTTAGCCTCTACCAGGCAATATACAATTGACCTACAGAGCTTTCGAAAGCCTCTTGGGCTATGTATACAGCTAGCATCCTGTATTGTATCATATCATCGCTTTACATCTTCTATAGCGTTGGACAAGCAATACAATGGCCTATCTCAACATACTGTGCACGAAGTGAAATGAATGAACATAATACAATTTGCAACTAAGTGAACGATCCTATGCGATCTACATACAATTAGCTTCATTACAGAGTCATATGACCTACGAACATCAGCTGCATGTGTTACCATGGAAAAAATTGTAGCACTCATAGCAGATTACTGGCAAATAATGTGAGGAAATCACGAGTAGGCATATATTTTCCTTGGGTGCGAGAGTCTCCATATTTTATTCTCAGAAATATATTTCAGTTCAGTTCAGTTTTTCAGTATCTTTTAAATTCCAATTCATACAATTTATCGTGATAATTAAACAAACAAAATAGCTAAACTGCAAAAAATAAGACAATGTTACAGAACAAACTGAACACCGTTATGTGAAATTATTACAATATACATTCAAGGGAACAAAGAAAACAAGGTAAATTATATGAAGGTAAATTATAATTTTTTTTTTAAAGCGGGAGCTTCGCTTTGAAATCGAGAGAACGGGAAAAACGCTCAAGTTGGGAGATTCCCGCCCAGATCGGGAGAGTTGGAGCCTTTGGATACCAAACTCGCCTTTTAATATCAGAACTGCGCTCTAGCTAATTTGAATGCATTTCATAATAAAAGGCTCATATTCGAAATTATTATGTTTAAGTACTTGTAGTTATCGATTCCCCCTTTATAACCGGACATACTTGAAACTGGGTTGCTAGAAAAATTCTTTTATTGTCAAAGTCTTTTATATGCTCACAAACTGTTGAAACAAGACATTTTAAATCTCCTTTCATCTTCAGATCTTTTGCTACAGCTCGCACTTGTTCTTACACTTTCTTTGATTTTATTATTCCATATGTTTTTAGCGTTGTTTTTAACATTATCAAGTTATTTATGACAATGTCGAGATCTCCAATACTTTGAATCAAAATTAATTATATTTTCCTTTCGCCAAATTTAGAAATCTTACTCAGTTTTTGCTGAGGGCATGATAAATTTCAAGTAGGCGTGTCAACTTAAATATTGCTAAATAGTGTAACATTCGTCATTATGCACATGAATATCAATTATCGAAAAGTGTTTTGCAGACCAAACGCTACAACATCTGCGATAAATCGTTACGCCTACATCCTCTAATCGAAAAATCTGTTTGAGGAAATACAAAACTTTGAAAAGCTGGCTTCTTCACTTACGTTCGATTCTTTATGATTCTTAATGGAAAATGAACAATTGCAAGACAAGTGTTCTAAGGAGCCCTCCTTCCAGCCAGTCATCCTCCTCATGGGGAAGTACATAGATTAGCAACAATTGATGAGAATAGCTAAGCAAGGAAATCTTACAATTGGAATAAGATTTGTTCTAAAACCGTTGATCTTGGTTTTATACTTAATGAGCCTTCGAAGATAAGGTCATGTCAGGTAAAAATCCATATGAACTCAAAATTAAAAGCTCTCATTGCAACAAAATGGAAAAAATGAATACACCAAGCATCGGTAGCTAGCATTAAGTGTAGAAAACTTCTTTTTTAAGGGGGGGGGGGGTGCTAAACATGCTAAAAACCAAGAGCAGGGCTTCTTTTGTTCTGTTTTAAGCAGATTTTGGAAATTCTGGGAGGCCTGCCCCCCCCCCCACTCGTTTCCTATTAGTTCATTTCTATGACATTCCATGAAGACAGAGGCTCGTGAAATTTAGATGCAGTGGCCAGGGACGAAAACAAGTTGCTAATTTTGGAGGGGCGTGGAAGGATGAAAATTCCAACTTTAAGTGATAAATTGTTCATTCGACCAATAGATCTACTGTACCTACCAAATTGATATTTGTAAATAGCCCGAACACCATAGTTCTATTTTCTTTATAATTACCAAAACTTTACTCAATAATTAGCCTAAAGGATAAAAGCCTAAATCTCTAAATTTTGATTAACATGAAACAAAAACATTTAAACTTACTGTAAGAAGTAAAGCAACATTTAAGCAAAACCAGTATTAGATATACTTAATGATTAGTAGTATTCTTTCAAATCAATTGATCAATTTTATCTAAAATACATTTTTTCCACCAAGATTTTGAGCCTTTTATTTTTGTTCTTGATCGAAGAAAACTACTAACAAAAAAGAGGGCCAAATGCCTTATCATTCTTTACAATTGAAATGATGATTTGAGAACAAACTTGTGCATATGCCTGATTCGAAAGATGAAACACTCTTCTTTGATCTAATATTTCTACTGCAGTTTTTGCAATGTGTTCTTGCTTCACAGCAGTTTTGTCATAGGAATTTATGATAAGGAGTCAAGGACGTTAACAAATAACAAGGGGAGTTTAGCAAAAACTCGTTTTTTATAAGAAGCGTTGAGAATTTTTAGTACTGAAAGATTCTTAATTTTTTATTTAATTAACTACTCGTAGTTTCTTAAAAAACTCCCACTCTAATATTTTCTGATCAATGCGGGTATTATTATTTCAAACTGTAAAGTTTCAATTTTTTTATCTGGAAATTTACCTTGCCTGTTCGTAATTTGATTCAACTTGGAGACGGGATTCACAATTCAGCCTGTGAATTTTAATGTTTAGAATTTTTACATTTAAAATAAAAAAACGTCTTAAAATATAAAATTCACACGTTTGGTCCTAAGAAAAAATTCCAAGTCAACCGTTAAGTTTTCCAGCTGTAACTGGATTTTCCAAACTTTGGGGGGCGTTACGCCCCCCACGCCCCCCTATTATTTACGTGCCTGGCAGTGGCCACGATTCAATGAAAGAAGTAGGTCAGCATAAAAACGTAGCTTTGGAAGATCTGATTTGCACATTAGATAAGATATGATATAAGAATGTATTAAAAACGAGATGCTTCTGCTGATTGAGCGAGGTGCATTCTAAAATGTAAGGCAACAACCCTGACTTATCAAATCATTCAATAAATCATTCAGTCTGAAGTAGTGACTTCGTATCATTGCAGATGTTCTCCATAATCTTAGACATTGTGGACGGGGGTTAACTCAGTCAATTGACGATCTTCAGTGAGGCACCGCGCAGCCATTGGGCTAGCAGGGGCTATAGCCCCTCCACGTTTTTGCAATAACATATAAGAAAATTTTTACTCTAGAAAAAGTTTCCTCTAACTATGCTCCAACGCAACATTGGATAGTAAACTCCAACTCCTAAGTAGTAGCAGTTCTTCTTGACTAGAACCCTTTTGTTCATTTTCTAGGTGTTTTTCTTGATGTTTTATTATCCCTAAGCTAATTTTATCTACTTTTATAGCTATTGAACCAGATTGACCCCAGCAGAAATAAGCCAATATTTTCTAAACGGGGCGTTTTCCAGCGTTCTAGAGGGCGTGGCCTCAAACAATTTCAGTCACGCCCTTTTCAGCCCTCCCACATTTAGACTGGTGCGTGGTCCATGTCTTCAGCAGCTGTTCATGTCATTTCCTCAGCAAATATCCCTCTTCTTTACTGTGACACAACTTCGAGGGTTGAACAGAAGACATAGGCAAAAATGCATGCGTAATAATCGCTGAGTTCTAAACACGCTTTTTAACCAAGTTAATTTTCTACTAGAAATATGTATGTATGCTAATGCAGCAAAGGGGATGAAGCCCCCGCCTCAAATGAACGTCCACGACTTAACGATCATTTTTTTAATTAGTTCTCAAAAAGGGAGTTTTCAGCACCCAAGAGGGAGAGGCAATACCCCAGACGGCTAGACAGAAGCCACTCGTCTTTTTCTCCTAACTCTGACCAATTTAGCTACGTTACTATGTACGTACGGCATTTACAGGTACAGTTGCTACAATCACATAACGAGTTAGCTGTTCTTGAAATTCTTATATTGGTAGTTTTAGTTATCAGTATTGGCAGTGAGCCAACTCCAGTTTTTTTCAAGGTGGAAAGGCATTTGGTAACGTATGTTTCGGCAAAGTTAGACGGAACTGTAATTTCCATCATACCGTATTCGTTGATAAGAAAATTCCTTCAAGAACATGTTGCCTGTAAATGTTTTTGTGCTGTTTGCATTCAAAGCTATTGAAAAGGCGTTCATTACTCTGATGTTTTGGGAAATAAATTCTTTAGTAGTTTAGGATTAAAAAAATTCAAGAATTTCTTAGCAATCAAAGCAGCAAAAACTATGAAACTGTATACCAATCCCTATTCTACTTCGTTTTTACTTTATATATGTATTAATGTATTCATAGTATTTACTTTCTTATTAAGCACAAAGTTTGTAAGCCGAAAGGGTTTTTAAAGTATCTATAATGAAATAAACTAAATAAAAACACCAGATATATTCCTTATTGCAACAAAAATCTTTTTGAATTTGAGAACACAAAAAGTCACGATCAGACTGAAAATAGGATAAAACATTTGCGTCACATGTCTGCCCATATACAAATTAGTTAACAGAGATGGACAGGCAAAGAAATCCGTCATATAAACCGGGTGTCCAATTCTGGACCAAAATATTACCTGCTTTTAAGGTATTAGATATCGGACTGGCCGGTTCACTGTATTTCGCTGCTAGCAATATTTACGTAAATTTGTGAACTTACCTGAAAAAGCCTTAAAAGTCTTTGGTTTATCGTTTCTTGATATTTTCGCAAGGCTCTACGTCAATTTTTCAAGGCCTACATTTTCAAGTTAGTATTTTTGCTGTTACCCCCCCCCCCCCTCTTAGAAATAAAAGTCAATGCAATTTCAGTCCACACCTGCGTATCAAAATTTCATTATATCTCTTACATACAAACATTGTCAATTGTATAGTTTATAAAATAATTTGATAGGATAGATTAAGCTAAATATCGAGAATAATGACAATAATGATTATAAACGCATAAATCACAATGTGAGGTATAAGTTTATGAATTTTACAGTGACTATATATATATATGAATTTGCTTATGCAAAATCCAAAATCTTGTAAACTTTGTGTAAAACACAAAAAAATCTAGCATTAAACTTAGAAAACAGACTTCGTATCTTCACAGAGCTCCACGACTTCATCGCCTGTCTGCTGGACCTTCTCAGTTTCCACCTCGTCAATGCAGCCATTATTTTGTGATAGAACACATGAAGTATCATTAGATGATGGTCTATCCTCTTGAATGTTTATTTCAACTGTGTTTTCAGTCTTGGCTGTTGGACTTCTGCGGCCTTCAATTGTAGCCTCCGGATATTTGATAAAATGGATGATATCATCTGGGATATTTTTTGAACGCTGAGCTTGGAGAACTAGTGATTCAGCTCTCTCCAAAATTGTTGGCAAGTCTAATTTGTATGACATTTCGTTGATGTGCTGTTTGACAGGAAATAAATGGGTTGATAAAGATTACAGCTAGTTACAACGCAGTGGCAGAAATTAAAAGAAAATGGCTTAAGGATTGTAAACTATCACAAACAGAAAATATGTAAATAAAGAAAAAACAAAAAATAGAAATAAGGATAGGATTTGATTGGATGTGGCAATTAAACATCACCAATTTTACAAATTCTTTACGACATTGGCTTAAGCTGTGCACATAAATTAGACTTAACTGCAATTCTACGATGGAATAAAAAGACGGAATACGTGTAAACTCTCGTGTACCCAATCCAATTCTTAAGCACCACTGTAAATGCACAATAATGACGCAATGGTAAATCGATATTACAATTGTAAACAAAGCGCTTTGGAAAAATCAATTTTATATGAGTCAACAAAGAAAGGGTTATTATAAAAATCAAAGTAGAGAAAAGGTTTAGGAAACTAAAGTTTTGGTGATCAAAAACGAAAGCTTTGGGTGTTTTTCTAAAAACTGAATGCTTTCCTCTAAACTAAGTATATACAAAAAGAATAAAGTTTTGAGTATCAAAATATAACTTGGCAAGGTCTTACTTTCAATATTTCATTGAATCCAAAGTTCTGACTCATCATATCGTCTTTTAACCCTTCCAAAATCGCCAATGCAATAAACAGTTTGAAGTAGGGTGTCAATGTTTGAGTCCATAAAACCTTGAAGCAACACGTATTCATAATCAGGTCAGGTCAGAAGAAGAGATAAAATTGTAGAGAAAACAGTGTTAGAAGATTTAGTGTTAATTTGGGCGTATCCTAGCAGTCTCCTTTGCAAGCCAATTGTCTCGCTCTGAAATACATTATTAAAAAAGTGATCATTACGATTAAATTAAAATGCCGCTGCGTATTTGTTGATAAGAGATGTATCCTCAAGAAAGGTATCATTTTGACGCTGTTTCCATATGCTGTCAAACTGTGAAAACAATATGAGCAGGAAAATGACGAGGCTTCTGCCTCAGTACCACGTGTAAACGTCACATGAAAATATTTTATTACCTCCCAAAGAATCATTGTATTTTCAAAGCTGAATTCTCTTTTGAACGTTAGCAGCAACCATCTGAAGCAGAAGAACAGGTTACCAGATTCCTTTGATTCTGAAAAAAATACAACGCATTGTGAAGAAAAAATACAGTGCAATTAAGGGGGATGAAAAATACAAGAGCACATCAAATTTAAGGGAGCAGATTGAAGGGACAAGAACATGTACCATCTCAACAAACAGTGAGAAGAAATCTGGCTGGACCAATTTTATAAATGAAATAGATTAGAATGTAGTGTTCTTATAAGCGCTTTAAAATTAAACGATGGTCTTGTCAAAGATGTGAAATGGAACGTTAGTGTTCAAAAGGCAGTTTTTGCTCGTTTTCCTGAAATGGGAAGGGAAAAGCAAATTTTTATCTGGCGAGAAAGATGGCTGCAATATCACCATGTAATTTATGGCATTTTTCGAATCAATACCTGCACTCGGGAATTTGCATCAATTATGATACTTAAGAATCAAATTAACTGCATTACTACGTAAAGAAAAAAGAACAATAACAAAATATTTACCTAAGTACTGGTAGAAGTTTGGGTAGAAAAATTTGATTAATATGCCTAGGTTTTCAAGTTGGGTTTGCATAAAATGCTGCATGATTTCAAAGTTGTTGGCTTCAGATTCCATTAGGCCGCAGAAGCACCAAAAGGAGTCTACTTCGTCTTCCATCAAAAGGAGGATCGGAGATAGCAAGTCGGACATTCCTTGCACGTATCCTATGGAAATGAAATCGTTTACATTGTTATCATGGCTTGGTGATAAAAGCAAAGATATTTTCTTGAGTTTAGAGAAATTGCTTGGGTAAATGGCGGAAGAGTGCAACACAGCTGGTTTAATACACAATATTTATTTGTTTCTTTGAAATTGGTAAAATAGCGCATAAAGTTGTTTTGAGGGATGCTTCTAATCAAAACCATCGGAGCCATCCATGAGGGATCCATTGGAGCATTGCTGTTCGTAGCTGTAATCCAGGAATAGAAAGGCATACCATGGGAAGACCACAAGTTGCACCATAATCCTCGATCAAAGGGGTTGACTATTTCCACAAGGAAGGAAAGAAAACACTTTGCATTACAGTTAAAACCGAATATAATAGCCTCGGTTTTGCTCTGACACATTAGAAACTTTCTTTGAGAGAGGTAAATGGCTGTTGTCATCGGTAAATCATCACACTTACAAAAGATCTGTAATGCCAATATTTTAGGCAAATAACCTATCTACCCCACCTCTATTCGAACTCATTTGCGAAAGGCCTAGAACAGAATAGAAAGACAATGCGTCCAACCATAGCACTATAGTATGGCCCTGGTAGGTTATCTATAGTTTGTGAGCCAATAGATTAAGAGGCCGGAGAAATGTGGTCGCGATGTGTGCCTCTAGGTTTTGGAGATGTGAGATTTAGTATATGAAACATCTTTATATTCAGGAAAATTAAAAAGCAAGGTAAGCACGCCAATTATCGAGCATGTGGCATTTATTATACCTCCTCTTTTTCTACGTAGCAATAGATACGTAGCAATAGGTTGGTTTTACTAGGACGTATAAGGAGCAAATGGGTTTGATAGCAATAAAGATGGGTGTCCCATAACTCTTCCGTAGAAAAGGTCCAAGCTTTCCATATTTCGTATAGAAAGTACTTGTAAAACCCATAGGCAGAATATTTGATCAACTTGTTGAAAATATCGCTTCCGAATGATCTGTATAGAAATATCTGTATAGAAATATCTGTAATTTGGCAGTGTAAGAAATACATATTCTAAGTAAGGTAACAATTATTTTTCCTGTTTCTACTGCTTCAAACAGCAATATTATGGCAGCTTAAAAATTCATTTTGCTCACCAAGATCGAAATTGTACATGCAATACGTCTTCAGCATATCTGAAAGTTTTTGTGTGTTTTCATTATTCTCTCCTCCATAAAATTGATGCATCTTGTCTGTTCGAATTGAATCTTTATCTGGAATGTCAAGTTGACGAAAATTACTTTTTAGTGGTCCGTCATAGAGTACTTGATATCACATAGATCCCAAAATATCTGAAACAAGCTTCATTTTTTATAAGGGTGTTTTGAATCTGTTTACATAAAAATAAAAGATTTCAAATTTTGCACCCAAAAAGAGGTCATTCTTCTTTGAAATCTTCAGCCGGGTCAGAGGTTAGTTCTCACAGATTGGTCAGAAACAAGGAACCAATCAAATGCACCAACCTTCCTTTCATGGCGTTTTGATGCGAACCAAGATACAAATTTCTGCTTACCGTTAGCCATTATCGGACATTTGGATATTCCGAGGATATAATTTCTTACAATGACTTTTTTGCAAAAAATAAGCTACTGAATGCTGAAGGGTAAAAAATATTTTCAAAATTTCATATGCTCGAGTCTTCTAAATTCATCATTAAAATTTCTGAGTCATTTAACATAAATGACTCTATGATCTAATGATGACCTAATAACCCTTATAACAAAAGCGCATTTAACGGAAGAATCGTATTTCAATTAGCTAATAAAATGTTATTAACAGTAGGAAAACGTTCACCTCCCTCGTTATAACTTTCTAACTCTTACCTACAAGTTGCCTTCTACTTGCAAACTCTGAGAATCTCTTGATTTGAACTTGGCTCATAGTTTCCCATTGTTTTTTCATCGTAAAATATTCTTCCCTGATAAAAAAAGAAATAATCACAGCTAAATTTCTCTGCTTAGGTGCCATATTTATGGCTGCAGGTGCCAGTATTGAAGTGTGCAACATTTATTAAAGGAAAGATACAATTGGGAAGCTAGTTAATGTTAAAAGAAGTTAAAACCTTGGCACACCTAATGAAAGTCTGAAATGGAAAAGATGAAAAATCTAAGGTGGTTTTCATTGAAGAGACAAGATAACAACACAACAAAGGAAGGTAAGAGCCTTTCTCGATTCCTGAAAATGTCCATTCTAAAGAAAATACTCATCTTTTTTTACAGAAAGATATAAATGATCTTCCTTTGCTCTAAAAAAGGCACCAGCAGTTACGTTCGCCAACGATACTTCTATTTCCTTCGTTTCGGATAAAATTGAAGAGTTTCGCACTTTTGTCAATGCTGAACTTGCTTGCTTTGAGAAATAGTTGCAATTGTATGTGGTTTCCAAGAACAAAATTGAAACACAAGCCACGATAACTTGTTTTGCCAAAAGTTGGGACACTATAAACAAAGCATCTGAAGCTATGCCTTGCTTTCAAGTAAATAAAATAGGTCTCGTACATAAAACTTAATATCTTGTTATGATGGATGATAATTTGAAATTGAGAAGCCAGTTGAAGTCCCTTCAAAAGTCACAATCCCAATACTTTGGGCTTTTGAAATACACCAAACATTTTGTCCAAGAAGATACACTAAGGAACAGATATCTCCGCATCGATGAGCACTACTTGAGCTTTTGTTGCTCTATTTCGCAGCTCTTGTGGTAGTAGTAAAATTTTTGACACAGTTTTATTTGAAGTATAATTATGGCACTGTTCCAACGATCCCCAAAAAGTTATGAAAAAGGAATTAGGCCATAAAAGACTACGACAGCAGACTTCAAAGATATACATGGATACAGAAATTTAGCAGTCAACTTAAAGTGAGTGGAATTATTCTTGAACAAAAAGAAGCAGATGACAATACAGCTTTGAATGGTACGTAGACAGAAATAGCTTGCTCTTCGTACGACATGCAGTCACGAATGTTTATGGGACAAAAAAGCAGACTCTAGTCTAATTGTGATGAGAATAAGATTCGATAAGATTAGGCTCGACATGACCCAAAGCTTGACACGATGAAGATTTAACGCAAAACAAAATGGGAAGCAGAATCACAACAGAGACCGACAGAGTTCTGTGGAAGAGAAAGGATTAGATAGTTTCAACTTAAAAACTTTAAAAATCGTTATGTTTACGCATCTACTTACGTTTTTGCTTCTTTTATCTTCACTCTATCTTCGTATGTTGAATCGAATGGAAAATAACCCAAAAGAAACTTCCATGCTTCCTTTCTGATGTCTTCATGAATACCCTGCCATTGACAAAGAAGTCTTTAATCTCCTAAATTTCACACCTTATTGCACGTATTACAAAATCAAGCCCCATCAAGACCAGAATTCTTTCTGAAAATTATTCAGAAGCATATTTGGTCAGCCTGCCTGAATGTGCTCGACATAACTACGTTAAAAACAGCCAGATCGAATAACTTTTGAAAACATCTGTTCTTCTTTATATCCTTTTTATTTAAAATATTCGAAAAGCTTACCCCTCTGAAGATTCTTTCCTTCAATCTCTGAACATCTTTGATTCTGCCATCATTGTCCATAAATGCACACCATTCTTCAGGCTGCAATCTTTGGCCTCTAATTGTCAATATTTTTGGACCAAGATCCGGCTGCAAGCGGATATAAAAACTGTTAGGGAAGTAATTTGAAAAGTCATTACCATTCACAGTCTAAAGACAATAAAACAGTTTTCTTCTTATTAATTTCTTCACATTCTCATACCACAGTATAGGTATCTACTAGGTCACTTAGAATACGATGTCTCCATTAATCTTAATGTTTTTATTTTAACCCATCAGCTAAACTCAACCTTCCGATCATTTGTTTTCTCTACATAGTTCGTATTTTTAGCCAATCAATCAAAGGCGAAAACAGAAAGGCAGATAGGATGATGGAATTAAAAAAAAAATCATCGAGACAGAATTGAAAGAAAATAGGGCGAAAAGAAGGCAAAGGATGAAGATGCTTGACTGGATACGAGGAATGAATGTGAGGAAGAATATGGAGGCGAGAGACAGAGGGAGATGAAAAGAGACAGGCCAGAACATGAAAGGCAATACATGAACGCCTACAGCATAAACATCATGTCACGGTACATGAAGAAGAAGAAGAAGGAAAAGAAGAAGAAGAAGAACAACAACAAGAAGAAGCAGAAGCAGAAGAAGAAGAAGAAGAAGTTCAGTTCTATTTAGGAAAACACGCATCCTTTCTTTGATAAGGTAATGCATTTACAATTTTCTAGGCAGCGGTCTTCTGATTTGATGACGTGAAAAATAAGGCTACTTGAACCTGTGTAAAGTTCATCCATACTCTTTTATACGAAATCGTTTATTCTTTTCTTTAATCTTGCGTACTGACCTTGTCATCCCTATCACTCAGTATCTCAAACCCTTGATCGCCATTCGAAGTCGTCCTTGGACGCTCTATACTTCTCATCGCAGGAGAAATAGGCCTATGTTCCTCTAGGCCACCTTGTGGACCAATAGTGTCCATCAGTAGTCGTGTAACTTTGGAAAATTGTTGAAGTGTCCCAGAAGCCTGACTCCAAATTTTCTGTATGATGAGAGGAAATATTTCAAACAGAAGAAAATGGTAAAAGTGTTGAATTTAAAATTAGAATTGTGAATTTAAATCTTAAACAGTTAATTGTAAGACTGAATTTAAGAAAACAATAAGAAATAAAGTGCTTTTAAATAATGACTTTTAAATGACTTTTGAATAAGCAAAGCAATGCCTTGCATTTGGAACATAAGTATCAAATAACCAACAAAGCATAGACATAAAGAATCATTCTTTTATGGATTACTGAAGTAGTACTGTGATTTGTCTTTTAAAGATATTTGGATACAGTCTCTAGACGCATTCAGCACACCAATAGAATTACCAAAAGGAAACGGTTAAGTTCAAGACATCTTGTGTGACAAATCTTAAGCAAATTCAAGGTTGCTGATGATCTGTAAGTGGAAACCGTAATGTCTATATAGAAATGGGCTATCATGTAAACAGGGGACAAATGGGCAGGATATAAACTGTGCACAGGCATAAAAACAGCAATAACTATGATGATTAGCTACACGCACTGAAAATGTGTCCTCAGGTTCTTCGTCAAAGAGCTTATGCTGATGGAGAGGCCTTCCCAATGCATCATTTACATCTTCAACAACAAACAGCTTCTGGTTTGCGGAAGCTCTGAAACAGATTTTCAGAAAATAGGTAAGCAGTTAACTGAAATTATTTGCAGCATCGAAAAGGTTAGCAAATTCTAGCATATTAGAACAAAACAACATCATGTTTTCCTAAAAGTTTCTTCATATATTTTCCACAATGAATTACTGTTTAAGCATTTCCAAATTAAACACCTATAGCAGCATACTTAGAACGTAACTGGGGTATTATGTCTATAGAAAACGTAGTTGGTGACGGGGATATTAAATACACAAACAAATATTTCTGGCAGTAACCTCTTGCAAATTGTTCTTTATGGTGATGAGAGATCAACAGAAATTAAAAAAATTAATTTTGACGCTTATATTGAAGCGACAGAGTGATTCCTGTGAGAAATTTTGACAGCTAATTCTTTGGGAAATATATATCAACTTTTCTTTTCAAGTTATCTTTTATTATCTTTGTTATATTTAAATTCACTCTTGTTTTCCTTTGTATGTCCTTACAAGTAAACATCTTTTTGTATACCCTTTAACATATTTCTCTAGGTGTAGGTCTTGGGGTAGTCAGGGCATTCTGCTTTCCTTGGTATCATCCTTGTCATGTAAGTTGAGAAGTAACAGACCAGGGGAGTCACACAGACTTTTTATATACAAGGGGGTCTATCTGTAATTATCAAAGTTTCTGTTGTTGAGCACATAAGAAGCCATCATAGTAATTCAGACTGTTTTTAAAAAAAATAGGTTTATACACATCTGTTCTTCAATCAGGCAACATTTATCGGACTTAAGGTCACATGTGGGCAATTCTGTCTCAGTGAAAGAAAAATATTCAGGGAATGTCCATACCAAGCCCCCTAAATGCTTTGCATCCGGTACAGACATTAAATTAGTTCTTAGTTATTTGCTTTATAGTAATTTCAATTATGTAAATTTTTGAGAAAAAAATTGAATAAGGTACAAACATTTTCAGGATTAGATTTTCACGAGCATATTCATTAATAATATCTTAAGTATTATTCATGTAAGATAATACTTTCTCAGGTACAAAGTTACCTTGTTATCCAAATATAACGCTGCAGTCTTGAAATCATGGCAGTAATTCCACCAGAATGAAAATGCAATGCTGGCTGGGTAGTTCCATCTTTCAGAATGAATACTGCATATGGCCAGGCCAGCTTTGGGTCAGAGCGCCTGATTGAGTGCAGTTTTGTGACTTTAAAATGAATTCTGTATTTGTGACCAGAATTGTTTACATCTGTCTTGCTACAAACACCTATATTGGTAGAAAACACAGAAAACAGTTCTAGAGATACATTTATGGCAGGGAAAACAAATTTAATAAGATGAATAACTCATTAACATTTTGTTAGGATTATCAAAGATACCATAACTAATCTGGTAAATATTAATCTCTATACCTTGATTTGATGGTTGTTTACTAACAACACCCCACTCATAATCTCCAGATAGGTATGATTGCACTTCAAATTCCATGTCAGATGGTAGATTTTTATCAGGACTCCAATCAATGTAGGCCCCATTAGCCTTAAGAAAATCAGAAATACAGTTAACAAAAGTAAACTAAACTTCTCTAAGGTTGCTCTAAAGCAGAAACATATCATAGTGTTTGCTTTTTGTGATTTAGTATCATAGGGTGAAATAATTTAGGATGTTGGTCAAACATTTCAATCTGACAAATAACAAAAATAGAGTCTTTCAAAAATGCTGTGAAAACTCATAAAAACAAAGCAATGTAGACATTGAAAACAGCAATAGATATTTTCACCTCTGTTTTTGTGATTTTCTCTCAATTTTTGAACAAAAAACAGATCAGTGTGAACATGCTAGATATTTACAAAAAAACCAGGAAAGGAAAGTGCGGCATTCCAAACAAAATGAGAAAAGCAAAAACTCAATTTCACAATTTCATATTTTAAAATTTGAAAAATCATTTATCTTATCATAGTACCCGTTACCCTAATAGATAGTTAGAAGCTAGTTCGAATTGGAACAACAACAACATACCCAAAAACAAAAGACCAGTATGCATTAAACAGGTCCCATTTATAAAAAAACTCTTTGCTAATGATTGATGAGAATTTTGTATCCCCATGGTGACAAGATAATGGAAGATTTGCATTCCCTTTATTTCTTGTTTTGATTGGTTTAAATTATTGAGTGGTTTAAATAAATTGGGTGGAATTAAATAATTATGTATAAATCCTTGTGCTTTAAAGACAATTTCAAATAATTTCTTTCAATTTTGCATTGTCAATGTCATATCAAGGAAATGACTGCATAGACATTGACAAAAGTGCACATAAAATTTGGAGGGGCTAGAATTCTTCTGCCCAAATGCAAAACAGAAAAAACATAATTTTCCCTCCTCCCTCAATTATTTCTCCTCTGCAGTCAAATTCCCTTGTTGCAACTTCTTCTTTTGTTGCAAGTATATTTCCACATATAGATTTAACATAGAAATAGGTTTTAGGAAGTCTATGCTAACATTGTCTCAACTGACCCCCCCCCCCTTGTGAGGAAATACTGATACCCCAACCCTCTGGCCCCTGCACCTATATGTATATAATTTCTAGCAAAAAGAAGCTTTTTTACCCATTTATAGATGTGACATTTTTGTCTGTTGATTCTGTTCAGCTTGATGTTGATTCTGTTTGCTAGAGCATCAAATAAATAAAAAACTAACCTTTTCCACAATTTTTAAATTTCCTCTAATGATGTTGTCAAAATGTGTTGATGCTGGAACTGATGTGTGGACAAATACATTGTCTTGATTATAAACAGTCTAGTTTGAAATAAAAAGAAATTTAAACAACATGCTTCATGAACAAATTTTTTTTCTTAGGGATGGTTCATTATTTACAGAGAGGCTGGTACTAAATGATGAGAATATATTACAAAAAGCAAAATGAGGTGCAATATCATTATCTTTATCAAAGAAAACTACTGATCATCATTCATGCAAAATTCACATCTTCATAGGTTGCACAAAACTTTTATGTCCCTAAATACAGAACCAAACAGGGAAAACTAAATTTGCTATAGAGGACAATGACTGTGGAATACCTTGGAAGAGGATCAAAAGGAAAAGACCACTGACTCTTTTAAGGGATCAAACTGGAAGGTCGGAGAACAACTGCAGAAAGTAACATTTGCTGAGGGCACAGGGCAACTTTTGAAAAAAAGATTGGATTTTATGTGTAATTTTAACGTTTTACTCAGTTCTAAATTGCAGAACATAAATTGTATTTGCAGATATCAGGTCTCCATCAGCTGCAAGCTGATATTAGTTTAGCCTGTTTTTACCAATAAATATGTATGCATGCAAAGAGAAACGATTTCTTGTCCATAAAATCTTCTTAACCAACTCAAAAGATGATTGAAAAAAAAACTAACCAGCCGTTTTCTGAAAGAATTTTTTTTACCTGACCTATTCAATAAATCGATCCCTTCGATATAAGCCCCTCTGTAGATAATGAACGGCCCCTTATGGATGGATTGAGCAAAACTATGAAATCAGGTTAATAGCTCTGAAAATATGCTACCTATATCTCCCTTCTTAAATTTGAATTGATCGCAGACATTCTCGTGGCATGTTATTTGAGACAGACTATAGTAGTTTATTTTAACTATGTGTCTATGGCCCCGGGGTAGTCATAGTCTTTTGCTCCTCGGGGTATCGTCCGAGTAGTATTGTAAAGTAAATTTGAAAGTAGCATAGCTTGTATTTATGTATTGTAACTTTTCAATGGATATATAAAAAAAATGACATAAGTGCCCGCATAAATGGTTATCGACACGAAATTTTTTCAGTCATCCAAAAATATTTATCGAGCAGTGTTTCAAAAAAGTAGAAAGCATCTGTACTCGATTAATTTAGAGATAGAAAGTGGCAAAAATGTCGGGAAATACTCTAATAAAAATACTCTGTCCACAACTGGGTATATATTTTTCATCGTGTTCTTTCGGACCCTGATTCTGACGTGTTATGCTCTGAGGAGTGTCAGGCGAAAAAGCTTTTAGTATGTTGTAAAATGTTTGCTTTTTTAAAGCCATTTTCAAATTCTGTACCGCAAAAAAATTGTTAAAAATACTCTGTTTATTCGTCACTTTACCATCGTACGAGACCATCGCTGAAAAGGGGATATGCGTTATACTTTACAACTTTCAGAAAAGAAATGCTGAATTCTAAAAAATAATTCGTGGCTTTCATACATGAAATTAAATACATGATCTGCAATTTTGAGTTTTTTCGATTCTCACATATCTTTAGAAAGCTAAAGAACATTACCTTTCCATCGTCCAACTGCACTGAATCCTCCGCCATTTTTGTTGTTGAATGTCACCCTGCCTCTCATTCACTTGATAGATTGATTACGTATGGTGACGAAACAGCAGTCATGTGAATATAATGACATCACTGGCAAAGATAACTTTTTGTACACAAAGAATGATTGTTTGTTTTCTGAAATGCTTTCAAGGTTTATATAAATTTGGTAAAAACAAAGGGCCGACAAGCTGGATAGAGTGGATAGAGTTAAAGTCAAAGGGAAAGTTAAAGTCAACCAATATTTGCAAAGTAGCAATTAAGTCTTACAACAGTAACAGTGTATAAAATAGTTCCTATTTTGTAACTTTGTCCAAACCTAGAAGCAGTGGCGGTTTATCATAAAATTCAGGAGGGGTACCAGGGGCGGATCCAGGATTTTTGGTGACTATAGCTCAAATCTTTTGGGATCGGGACCACGCCCTCCTTGCTTGTGGGACACGCCCACTTTATGGGCAAATGATATAACCATGTGTGTTTATAGTTGTTTTGTATTCATAAATATTCCTTCGAACATCCTTTTTCTACTTCCAGGGACGGCAGAGAAGGGGGTGTGGGGGTACAACCGCCCATGTTGCCCTTTGACAGAAGAGGCAAGGGTTGTTTTTAATAAAGTTCCCTTGAAACTGGCCAATTGTAATTATCAGAGAGATTCATATAAAATTCTGAACTTCTCAAAACATGTGAAATAATTCCTTATGCCGAAAGTTAGCCAATGTTGAAGATACCTACAGAAGATCGAAATAAAATTGCAGTTACGTATGAATTTGTAGAAGCTGAGACTTATCTCTCAAAAGCCCTTTTACTCAAGCCTGCACCCCCCCCCCCCGCTTGGTCGTTCCGCCGTCCCTGTCTATTCCCTAGTAGGTGCTTGCCTTTGAAGCTACATTACAGGGGATCCAGGATGTGAAAATGAGCTATAGTCCACTGTTGCTTTACAGGGGACAGAGAGCGAAGAAGTACCGTGGATACTCATATTCTATTGGTTAAAAGGCCATTTTCAAATCTGACTATAGCTTCACTATAGCTCGCGCCAAAAATTATAGTACGGGTTTCATTGTCTTCGATGTCTTTTCCAGAGCAAATTCCCAGACCGACTATAGCTCGGAATATCCACTGTAGCTCAATTCTGGTTGGTTACTGTCAACAAAGAAAAAAACTTCTGATTCGTCTAAGTTTTAATATTAGACCATTCTGCGCTCAGTGTTTTATATTTTATCTGGAGAAGCATTGTGATGACACATTGCCAGCATTGCATGTTTGTTAATCGCATTTGATAACCTATACCGCTGCTTTCAAATGTTGATAGTAAACACTTGTGGGCATAAACACATTTTTAGGGACTGCAAGGAAACTTTGTATTTCGAAAATCAAACACTGAGAATTTGACTATAGCTCGAGCTACAGTTGCTATAGTCTGGATCCGCTCCTGGTAACAGTGTGAAATTGGCCGACTGTTACATGGTAAATGATGAGGCTCAATTAGTTTGAACTATTCCCAAAATGTGATGTGATGACTTTCCAGCAAAAGCGAAACCTTCCTCTGACGGCCCATCTCCTCAGTTAAACCTTCCACAAACGTGATGCGAACTTAGAACAACGAGTTAACTCAAAATAAAATTGATGAGGTATCCCTTAATCCAGTCTTTACTTTAATTATTTCAATTCCAGCCTCTTTTCTGACATGTTATATCAATTCCAGCCTCTTTTCTGACATGTTTCTGACATTCTCAGTCTATTTTTTGCAAGAGTTATAAACCTCCACGAGGCAAGCTGTTTAAACATTTTTGTTTTAGTTTTTATTTTTTGCCTCAATTTCGTTTTCACTTGAGAGAAGCTACAGCCCCTTGAGTTTTTGCTGACCAATCTTGTTCGTCTTTAGTTTTGAGAAAGACCCCTCAGCACTGGCTGTTTTAGCAAATGTATTTAATAAGCTCTATGAAAATTAGGGCCTTACACCATCCGGTATCATGCATGTACGTTGCTTCACAACTAACTCTCCCTTTTCTCCTTTCCCATAAAATCTGGATTTCCTGACAATGTATTTGACCTATCCTCCATATCGATTCTACTTTGCTTTCTGTGGAAAAGTGTGCTGTTGGAAACAAAGCCACAAATGACTGAAGTATTAATGTTAGAATTTTTTTAAGAATGACAAAAAAGGGCAAATACCAGATATTGCTGAATAGTACTTTTGCCGACTTCTGGACTCCAAGGGAGGGGGGCAATTGCCCCCCTCACCCCCCTAATAACCGCCACTGTCTAGAAGTCATTCGTTGGTTGATTTTTTTGTATTCGGATATTCATTTAATAACCGTTTGCCCTATATTAAACCAGTGCTGTAATTGGTTTCAGTTCGATAAACAGTTAGTTTACATAAAATGATGCACAACTATAGGCGTACGAGCCACGATTCAATGGTTGCACTCGAGCAAAACAACAATATTTATTCGTTTAATTGCAGTATAGGAGCCCGTATAATCTTCAGTGTAGTTTTCGTGATCGGCATTAAAAAATTATGATTTAATTTGTTGAACAGAATCTATGAAGTATAGCCTGAAAAACTGATATTTTTGTCATAGAATCTTTCTTGCTCTCAAAAATTGCTTTCTGTTAATAATAAGTTCCAATCAATTCAACTTGTAAATTTTGGTTTTCATGGGCTAGCTGTAGCATATTTAATTTCTTACTTAAGCAATAGAAAAAACATCATTGCAGGTTAGAGTTGTTGCAGCTAATGATGTGGACTTCCATGTACTACAAGTTTATGTCCTGGGTTCTCTTCTTTTCCTCCCTTACATCAATGACCCTATAATCTCGTCTTATAATTTAATTTTAACCTATATGAAACAAATATCTAATTTAAATGAGATCCTCTTAAGAAATACAAGAAATAGTTAACGAAGAATTGAAGCATGCCAAAAAGTGACAAAATGCAAAAACAAACTTACATAAAATAAGGACAGAACTATTTTGATTACATTTCACTCTCCCCAAATTCAACGGCTCGAATTAAAGAACATATCAAACGACAAGAGTGACTTTCAAAAAGCTGGCAAGAACCTGTGCCATATTCTGTAAAATTCGGCATATATTGAACATACAATTTTTAGCTTATTTGTTAATTTTTTGTTTGCCTCTTTCCTTCAGCATGGAATTGTTATCGTGGGTCTTACCTGTTATTCACACCAAAGCAACGTATGTTTTGCAAAATAAAATCGTTATAGCTATAATTTCTTAGAACTCCAAAGAATTTTTAAACTCCATCTACACCAAGTTTTGGTAATAATTAATCGGGTAAGGCAGTGGTATAGTGCTACAATAATAACAAGGTGGGATCTTGCACAAAATGTTACAAAAAAATAAGCAAATGTAGAAATTGGCTAACTTTCGGCAATAAAAACCCCTAGATTAAGCCCTTTCAAAAACGCCTAAATGAAAAGACGACCTTGCTGGCCAATGGTTTCTATTAAGTTGAGGAAAACTGGAGAAAGGAAAAGCGACAGAATTCCAAATTCTCTGCATGGCAGGTGATAGCAAATTTATCATAAATGTGTGCTCAAAGTAAACCTGAGACAGGGGCGAATGAGGAGACATCTACCACTTGTCAAGCCGGCATATACTTTCGATATCAATACGTTTGAATTAGTCCACTGGATTGTTGTTGGCACCCAAGAGATTGGATAGGCACTTGTTGGCACCCAAGAGATTGGATAGGGCTGTGAGGCAACATATTCCCCATCAATTAACCTATTTTATGTTCCTCAGCGTGTCAGATGGCATTTCCGTCCTTGAGAGAAATCTTTCAGGAGAATCACTATTTTAATGATTCCCAAATTTCATGGGAAAACAACCTAACATATTTGGCTTGCTTCCCAAATCAAGGACGTGTTCAGAACCTAAATTCCAATTTTTCGGAGTTTTCGATAGAGCATAAAATTTCGTCACCTCCTCAGGAACCCGTCCAATTCTTCGGCATCAGCAGGCACAGTTTAGGGATTCAAAACTACACTCTAAACTTTATCTACTTGCTGCGGAACACAGAGATTCTAACAAATTCATTTCTTATTTACTTCTTAAACAAAGTCACTTTCCCGGATGATGCGTGTTTGATAGCATAAGGATGATCGTTGAATAGGCAATTATTTCTTATGTTCCTTGAAATGATGTTAATACGCACAAAACAAATAAACTAAAACTAAATTCGTTGAAACTCGCGCTATTCTCATCCATATGTAATAAGAATAAATCGCCCTACTTCAAGTTACAAACTTTTTAAGCTTTTAGATTAAAAGAAATGGGTTAAACTGTGATCAGAGTTAAGAAGACATTGGTGATTCGTTGTTTATTTGACAAAACAAACAGCGTAACGTTGCAAAAGTGGCAAGGAAAATGTCATTATTATTAAAGGGCTTCGTGTTCAGTACAAAATGAACGATTACATTAAATTCATTATTAATCAGCAGCAACCACTTCCTTGTTTCTTTCGTGGTTCATCATCTACAACAACAACGTTCTTTCTACGTGCATTCTGTGCTTGTTGCGCTGATGACCCTCTAGCAGCTAATTCAATTTCATCTTGCGTCTGTTTTTCATGCATTGCTGAAACGATTAAGAAAATTCTGCATAAATACTCAATGAAAATTACAAACAGGCGTAAATCATATTTATCTGTTTCAAAAATGAAAGCAGTCGATCTATTTAAGTAAATAAAGGAATGGGCACGGTAGCAGGCTGCTCGACGGATTCAAATGGAATGCTTGCGGCGAAAAGCCGACAAAAGTGTAGAAAGAAAGGAACACTGCCCAGAACAAACAACATTAAAAACTTGAAATTTAATAGTTATCTTTAAAAGCCTGTTGTCTTCAAACTTAAATTTAATAGTATATAACTAATATTTCGCCTTGGCATACAGCACAGTTTATCTAACTCTGCTCGCAAATAGCAAATTTCATTCTGAAATTTCATGTCAGTTTTAGCAACAAAGATTTTAGACAATTGTTCTAACAATGTCAACAAACAGAAAATAAATGGGCCCTGACTGCCTTAGGCTGTTTCGTAAACCTCTTTTCAACATAACACCATCAGCATTCTACAGGCCATTTACATGGAAAATTCAAGTTATGTTGAATTTCAATGGGATCTAGGCATTAAGGTCTTTTTGCTATGCATTTACATGGCAGACCTCAACATATGTTTATATAAAATGCAATAAAAGATTAAGCACAATTAACAACATTCATTTTAAAACACCCCAGACTGAAATTTTCCTCTATTCACACATAAACTCAGTAACAGCTGAGATGCTGTGTAAAAATCAGTCAATTTTGTAACACCATCACAAAAACACTATAGAGGGACTTACATCCAAAATTTACACTTGGTGCATGTTTTGTCTGACTTATGTAATAAAAGGCAAAAAGCAGACAACAGAAATTGCTTGAAATATAAAACTACTGTTATGATCAACCATATAAATCCCCATTTAGAAAATGGGTGGATAAAATAATGAACTAGAAATCAAACTCACTTTTTGTTAGGTCTAAGAAAAGCTCATCAATGCCTTTATTCAGCTTTGCCGAGGTATGAAAATGTTTCGCACCAACTGATCTTGCATAGCTGAAAACAGATATAAATCACTTTTATATAGATTGATAAATTTAAGTGTCTTTACAGAAGCACATAAGCACAGATCAATATTTGTATAGTAAATTGTGAGTAACATTTCGTAGAGAAAAGTGTGATAGAAGATAAGATATATTTGCTGCTACTCTGTGTTGCATGAAGTCATCAGAAAGACATATCACTTTTACTGCTAGATAAAGGATAGCCTGTGTCCCAGACCATAGATAGAGGATGTCTGAATTAAAACAGGTATATCAACATGTGTTACAGAATTTCACTGACAACATCAGCTGTAAACATAGAGATATGCGGTATTTTCAAAACAGCAGAACAATACTAACATCTTTTTGTTCATCCAAGATAAAAGTGGGGATAACTGCATCAATTCATTCTAGTCACTACTATAAAACTGCATTCATTATTTTTATTACCAATTCACATTATTAAAAATTTGCAGACAAATCTAAATACATGCCCTATGGTGAAGCCATTATGATGGAACACATTTTGATGGGAAAATCATGTATTGTTGCTTTAACCCAGCTCCACTTTTTTGCACTTGAACATGATATTCAATAGGGTTATAGAGAAGGACCATGACCATATCCATTTGAACTAGAGACAACACCAACAAGGGGGGGGGGGGTCACTTAATACACTCACTACCTGCCAACAGGGTCTCATTATTGGCTGAAAATTCTGGGATGGGATTGTGCATTTTGTGTCCTTTATCTGGCACAGGTATGTCCATTGAAGATGTCCATATGTATTTTTTTCAGGACAGGTAAGATTTGTCATGAAAATGAATGTGTTGTCCGCTTCATAGAGTTATTCTGTTGAAGCTCAATTTTGGAATACAAGAATAGGTTAACCTTTCAATATCAATTTAAATATATTATCAGTAAAATTATGTTTAGGCAAACCATTTGATTTCTGGATTTTACTAAAGGGCAGGCATTATATTTTTAGAATTTTATTCCAGAACAAAAATCAAGTTTTTAGAATTTTATTCAAGGACAGGGTCATAGCACTTTTTCTGGAATAGTCCTGCCATTTTTCTCTAAGGTAGACCCTCCCCCTGGCAACACCATTAGTTACCTATTCAAAAAATCAGATATTAATGCTGGATTGGGTACTTTTGAGTTGTATTCATGATTGTTATTACTGGGTAAATAACAGGAAAGACTTACTCTTCTGCAACTTGAGCATCAACATGTCTGTCTTTCTCAAGGTCAGTTTTGTTGCCTGCAAATCAGGGAAGAAAATTTATAATTAAAATATTAAATCATCATCCAATAAAAACAATCACAACATTTTAGTATGGACAATAATTCTGAATAATCTGATTGAATTGAATAGTACAGCTTCTCAGTGTCCTAAAAACATCTTTGGAAGCTGGGTGGTAACAAATAACAAAAAAAAAACAAAAAAACAAATAGCTTGAACTGTCTCAAAAAGGGTAGCCAATATTACAAGAAGTCAAGAAAGTCCCTCTTTGTGAATATTCTCTAGCTTAGCAACTCCAAGCATACACAGGGAATGACATGCAACTTGCACAGGGAATGACATAGCAAACATTCAAATTTATACTGTATATCAATATAATTTAGATGAACTAAAATTAGCTGTTGATGATGCCACATAAATTTACCTGCAATGCATAAGCATATATCATCTCCAAGCATTTTCCTCAATTCCTTTACCCAGTTTTTCACCTGCAATCGAGGTAAGCAAACTTTTGGTTAAATTAATACTCACATTTTTAAAAGTAAAATGTAAAACAAAGAATGTTAAGAGGGAGATTTAGTTTGAAGGGGGGTGGGAGACACAAGCCCTGGATACTGAATAAGGCAATACCACCAAGAGGGGATAGCAATAGGGTAAATTCCAGGGGCCAAGGTCTCCCGAAGGGCCTGCAAAACAATTTTAAACAAGCTGCTTGCTAGATGCTCATTCAATAACTTTTTCAGGAAGTTGTTTGTTTGCCAAGTTCATTCTATTATTTGGTGTCTGATTTATTGTTTTATCAACCTTGCCTCTGCGCTCCTACCCTGTATACTGTGCTGTCTATAGCCCCAGGGCCAGAGCTCGCTCTGAACGGGCCTGGCAACTGGTTGTGGCATGAATATTATACATATTATGCTGTCTATCAAAAACTTTTACCATGGGGCCGCAACAGAGCCTTTAGGGCCCATATCAAATAGTAGTTATGTGGTATAGATTTCCTATTTAAAATAGAAACAAGCATAGAAACAAGTCTTTAGAGAGAAAAAAGCAAATCAAAGCATTATAATATCCATGCACTATGATAAGAATTTCAATATGTTTAAAGATTGTTTCTGATATCCAGATCATAATAAAAATGTAATAATTTATCAGCTACCTTTAAGAATGAGTCTTCATCTGTTATATCATACACCAATATAGCACCATTACTATTTAGAACACAAGAATTTCATCAAAAAAATTTAAATACACGGAAATAAGGAACAATAAATTCTGGTTAGCAAGTCTTCTGAAAAAGCTATATCAATACACAATAACTTAAAGATTATCGATACAGGCCCCCTACTGAATTTTCCAAATCTTGTGATTTGAGTGGTGATAAAAAGTTAACAGGAATAATGCATACTGAAAAGATAACATAAGAACTATGATACTGTTGTAGTTTTAGAAAAGACGCTTTTATTTAAAGGTGTTAATCACAATGCTTGATTGAACACCATTTCTATAACTGAACATACTATTTCAATAGCATTGTTCTTTGAGTTGTTTTTGTACGGTTTGGATGTTAAAAGTTTGATATTGGAAAACGTGTAGTAAACAGTTTTATTTTTGTTCTTATATGTCTGTTGAGGCGAAAAACACAACAGATACAATATAAAGTGGAATTACTCTTGATACAAATAGAGCAATATATCATATTTTGCTACACTATATACAAAAACACTTTAGTCCAATTGTTGTACAAAGAATTTATTAAAATAAAAAGGGAGGAGGAATGCCTACATAATCATGACAGCAAGCGAGTATCTACCAACATATACTATTTTACTTTGTTATTGAAGATTCACTTTTGGCTGTTGCATCAGCTTTATAAAAACTCCCAGATGAGCTAAAATGGTTTTGAAAAATTGTGTACAATGTGTCACTGCTATGTATAGTATGGCAAATATTATTATCTAACCACGCTGAATAAGTATAATTGCAGCACATCATATATGCAAAATATAAGCATGTTATTTGTGAGGTGATTGATTTGACAAATTACCTGTCTCTGTAGTAAATGGGACCTAATGCATGAAATCTTTCTTGTCCAGCAGTATCCTGAAGAAAATCAGACCACATATCAACAATATACATATTTATTAACCAAATTATTTAGGCTTGCAATGACATATTGTGTAATCTGTAGGTAGGCGTCGCTGGACCAATACACAAATACATAAATTGAGCCGGAAAACTTTTGAACTTAGAAATGGTTGCAGATATTTTGTTAAGATCAGACAATCATGGACTTTAATTTCTTGAATTCAAGTAAAGTTCTAGATCCTTTATCAACTTACCCATATTGCGAGGTTCATCCGTTTCCCATCAATATTTAACCTTCTGTTGAGAAATGATGCCTATAAAAATAGAGATTAAAAATATAATTAGTAGAATACATCTGTTTTTTTCTTGGGTATTTTCATTTAATTATCTGCAATATCTTTTGGAAAAATTCTAGGAAATTTCACACTTTTGATACACAAACCTCTTGTCTGCAAAGGATGGCAGTTTTTTAGACCTCCTTAAAATAGTTTGCGCCTGCGAGCACAAAAAGGGAAAATTTGCAGCGATTGTGTCCTTAATTTTTTTCAAACAGCAAAAAACGGAATGGCAGTCGATTTTATTGCTTGATATTGTTTGATACTAAAATGAATGATACTTTTAATTTTTTTAATATTTGGACCATTAACAGCAATCACAATTTCCATCTCTTGCAAGCTCTACCCAGAATTGTAGTTTGTCCTGAATTTTTTTACATGGAAGCCTTCAATCAATGACCAATTCAACAGATAGCTTGCTGCAGCAACCCAAACAGAATAAATCATCATAACAATTAGGAAAATCTATATTATTCTCATTTTGCTACATAAATCATTTTCACAAAGCGGTAAAGCTTAATATTAACATAGTGAATCTTGTAGTTGAATTGTTTCTTTAAATTCTTAAACAATTGAAAACTTTGAAAAAGTCCTTTTTTTCAGATGTGCCTGTGACGTAATTTGATCGGCATGGTTTGCCTGCAAACACTGCTCTCGCGCTTTAGCGAGGCCTGCATTTTTCTATGTCAATGTGCAAGATCATTTCAGACATATTTTCTGTGTGCCCTTTCTTCCTATAGTATTACTTTTACAATGCTATTGTCAATGTGCTATTTCAAACTTTGGTGTGCAGTTTACACTGACCTTTTCTGCCATATTATGCAGACGCTACTGACCTTATCTAACATGCATCAGACTTATGTCATTCCAAAATGGAAGATGCAACACATTTGAACAGACCTCATCACCAATTGGGCCAGGGTGCATTCCATGTACTTAGGACGAAGACTTTTGGCGTACAAACAGGCTTTTTTGGCATTCAACATGCAAACCATGCAACATGCAAATTTTTTGGCGTACATAAAACTTGATTTAGAACAAAAAGCCACATACATAGTTAACATGAAAAAGAAAAAAATTAAGACTTGTACACCACATTTTTTCTCTATTAATGAGTTTCCTTTGTCTGGCATACAATATTTACAGTTTTACTATCTGCTCACATTTTTGGTGTACCTATACAAATGCCCTGGTGGACCTTCGGCCTACAGTTGATATGAAATGCAACCAGGCAATTGGGATAGGTTAATTTGTAAAAATTCCACTGCACAGCCAAATTTTATCAAGAACAAACTTAAATACCTTCTGTTATATAACTAAAAGCTGCTTTATAGTTCAACAATTTGTGGAAAGTTACTTAATATGATAGAGGAACTTCAGGCTCCAACAAAGCTAAATAAGCAAATTGTCAATCTCATGTAAATCTATCAATAGAAAACTGTCAAAATAACGATTTAAGGAAGCAAGGAAAAAAGAGATAAAAATTAGTGTTAAATGGTTAATATATTCAGAGCTACATATTGATATGGTTTAAGAGAAAAAGATTTAAGATAGATTTTGACATAGATGTATCAACGCATGGCTGCTTTATATACTCTTCACTGCTAGAAATCATAATGATTTTTAATCACTCTTGGACTTTAATACCGGCTCATGACGAACTTAAGAAAAGAAAATGTTCATTAAGTATACCAACTACATATGCAGGACATCATTAATAATAGCTAACAGGTTTCACAGCAAATTGATATTAATTTTAAAAAATCCTGAATGGGCGTGAATTACCTGAAGTGTCTGCAAATGCTTGTCATTAAATTTATCTTGACAATATCGAAGAACAAGACTAGTTTTGCCAACACAGCCTTCACCAAGAAGCACTATTTTGAAGTGATTCTTTTTTCCTGCAGCAGCCATAGTTTGGTATCTGCTATTAGTTCATTAATACCGCTCTGGTTTGAACCAGGAACTGGAATTCCACCGGCTATTAGCCAAACAAAGATTTCAAGCAAGCCAGTATCTGACACCAAATGGCCTAGTCCAAGGAAGGAAGAAAGCAATCACTTGAATGGTTGAAAACGTTGCAAATCACAGCATGAATAACAAAGTAATGCCCTGCCCTTCTTATTTACTCCTATTTCGTTCGAAGATAAATTTGTTCAGTCAACTCTTCAGTCCAGGACCAGAAAATCTTAACAGCTTTCAAATTCCATATTACTATTCTGCCAGATCTGTTAATTGCGATACTACAGGTTTTCGTGGAACACATCCCACAGCCCTCGGGTTTGAAGATAGTGACGCATATGCGCGGGAAAAGCACGTGTGTATCACGAGCTGGGAGACTGGATAAGATCAGCCAAGCTCTGGTCTATCTGGACTTGATACAAGTCTCTCTCTTTAAAGAAAGAGAAAAAAGAAAAAATGGGAGGGAAGGAGAGACTCTCCTTCCCTTCCATTTCCCCTTTTCCCTTTCTTTAAACAGAGAGACTTGTAGCAAGTCCATGGTCTACCGTAAATCCTCGAATAAGCCCCCACGCTCGAATAAGCCCCCACGCTCGAAACGCCCCCCCCCGAAAAAGCCCACACCTAAAAAATCATTTTTGCAAATAAGCCCCCGCATAATTGCTGAATAACATCTTATTTCAAGAAAGCCCCCACAGGACAATATCTATACAGTATTAGTTCCTTTGACTGGAGACCAAATAGCAAAAGAGCCACTTTTGTGAAGATAAAAATTTATAATATTTGTTAGATCTTCACACAACACTTTGTAACTCTTTTAATGAAATACTTAAATGATGTCGACCTTTGAGGAAAATAATAAACTTTTAAATAAGCCCTCCTCGAATGAGCCCCTCTCGAATGAGTACCCCCCTCGAATAAATCCCCACCCAAAATTTCATTTTTGCAAATAAACTCACGGGGGCTTATTCGAGGATTTACGGTACTCTGTCTACTGGGTGTTATAAAGGAGAGAAAATCAGTGGCGTAGATAGAAAATTTTATACGAAAAACTGAGATTTTCCAACAAAAATCTAGCAAACATTTCTTATTTTTTCAAACATGTGAACATACCGTAAAAGCCCTATTAAGCCCCCGTGGGCTTATTCATTTTTCTCAGTCCTACAGGGGGGCTGACAAGAGAGGAGGCTAATTATAGAGAGGGGGCTTATTAAAAATTTGAAGCAAAGAAAGTTTTAAAAATACCCTTGGTCATTCTTTGTTATAAAAATGTCATACAAATGTTCTCAAAAAACTTTGCTAGGAGCTACGAAAGTTTAATTAATCAATTATAAGGTCCTTATCTTCATCAACATCACCAGGATGAATTGATTACCCTTGGACATCTTCAAAACAAATTTCGACTGACTACTAAGTCGCACAAGGTAGTCTTTACATGGGCCGTATTTAATGCACACAACCTTATCATCAACACACCCGTCCAGAGACCAACAAAATGCGCATGATTTCTATCTTAACATCAAAGGCTAAAGATATGGGGGGGGGGGGCTTAATAGAGAGGGGGACTTATTTGAAGTTTTTGCTTGATAAGAGGGGAATAAAAAGGGAGGGGGGCTTTATAGAGAGAAGGCTTAATAGAGTTTTTAAGGTAGTTCAGTTCATTTCAGTTTTTAATGTTTCAAAATTATACTGCATACAATATCTCACTACAACGACATTACAACTAATTCATACAATGTTCACACATTACATAAATGCTTATAATAACAGGCAAGAAATAACAACTACGTAAGATGTTGTTTGCAGGGGAGTTTCTTTAAAAGGAGATCTCTCAGTAGATGAACTAATCAAGGAGAGAGCATCCCCTTTTCTAAGGTGTTTTTAAATGTATTTGATAATTTCCATGAGTGACAGAACAGTAAATTTCGCTTCAGAATCAAATTTGATAGTTCTTGTTGAATAAAAGGTTTTAAGCTTTTGACAAAAACTGAATTTTTCCAAAAATTTAGCGCCAAATAAACGCACAGATCTGGAACCAGATTGCAAAGTATTTTTTCGTATTAAAAATGTCATTTTTCTGGCTTGCCATGTACCATATTGGTGAGCATTTGACACAGATTCAAAAATGTTGTGACACAGATTCAAAACATAACATAAAGACATTAAAACTGAAATAAAACAGGAGGTAAAGTTTAATTATCTACTCAAAGTCATGTGTCATAAATCATACTAATTTTAGATTTTATGGTCTTCGCAAAAGGCATTTTTAAGTTGCCCATCTGATTCAGAATAACTGAAGAAATCGTTATAACAAACTTTAAGGAATGTCCTCTAAAAATGTAACACTTGGATAAAAGTAGAAAACCATGTTATGTAGGTTTTCAAGTGCAGGCATTTTTAAGTGATAAGTCACCAAGCGTGCGATGGAACATCCACTCAAAGAGGTAACGAGGAAAAGAAGCAATCACGACCTATGGCGATCAGTTAAATTGACTTTTCAAACTCCCATTTTTTTAACAAGCTTAGGGCTATAAATCACCTTCTCGCAGTACTTAGAAGAAGAGGGGTCAGGCAGGGGTGTAGTACGGGGGGCTAAGGGGGCTGAACCCTCTTTGTTGATGCCGAAAATTGGTAAATTTATACTTTTGCTATTGTCTTTCGCAAAATTTTGTGCAAGAGCCCCAATTGTTATTTTAATAGCACTATACTACTGGGGTCAGGGGGTCACTGAACCCCCTTTTCTGTCACGTTTTAGGCCAGAAGTGTTTGCAGTTGTATTCTCTAGTAAATTAGGAATTGATTTCAAGCAAAAGCAAAAATGTTAATTTTGATGGAAAATTGCAATTTTAGACCAGTAGCTTAATGCCCATGATCATATCATCATCACATCCGTCAAGAGAAGAGACCCATTCAACGCGCATATTTTCTTTGTTTGGCATCAGTGGCTAAAGGGAGGGGTGCTTTGTAGAGAGAGGGGGAGCTTATTTTAAATCTTTCCTTGATAAGGGGGCTTCTATTAATAACAGAGAGGGGAGCCTAAAAGAAAGGGTCTAAATAAAGCTTTTTACGGTAAATATAAATGTGTAATTAGTGCTAGTTTGGATTTCGTTTGTTTTGCAACCTGTAACCTAAGTAATTTTATCACCATTCACACATTCGATTGTATATAGTTCCTTTTGTTTTCTAATGGCACCTTTAGATTCATCAACTATTTCTTTTGGGATTTTTAGTATCATTATTAAGTTTATCTAATTATTCTTGGGAGTAATTTATATTTGTATTCACTATTATTATGTAAATTTACGTAGCTATGTAGCATTACAATTATTAAGTTATATTTTGGACGTGTTACATTTAGAGTTAGTTGGAGTTGGAGTTGGAGTTGGAGTTTGAGTTGGAGTTGGAGTTGAAGTTGGAGTTGAAGTTGGAGTTGAAGTTGGAGATGGAAATACGGTTAAGAGCAATTAGGTTAAGTTTTGACATTTTGTATATTTAGGTTCTCGGCGTTTTATAAATGTAGCAAGATGCTTGTGAAAGATCTTTTCGGCATAAACTATGGGTTTATAGGATAGGTATTGTTACTTATGGCATCGCGCGTGACGCAGAGGACATTGCTTGAGAGAGACTGTGCCTGACATTAAGAGAACGAATCGACGTTAAGGGACAACCGTAGAAAAACATTATATTTATAGAACCTTATTTGCGGAAAGATCATTTGATCTGAAGAAAGACGTTTGAACATTATCACTGTGTCTATTTGTTTCATTTCTCATTGATGGAAGGACCATTTAGTCTCGACAATAACGATAGGGTGGATATATTCATTTGGTGAAAACCCCTATTACAAAAGCCTTACTCCTGAGTAACTTTAAATTTAGGACTTTACCAATGGATTTTCTGAAACGAACCCAAGAAAATTTTCAGTTCTTTCATGAAAAAGGTAATGTGTCCAGCTATAGCAAGCGACTCAGCGGGGGTTTTTAGAAACATGTGATTTTTCATGTCATCGCCCCAGTCATTACGGTCGTTTTGTTTATTTACCCTGCTGCGAGGTCAGCTTTTCATGTGAGCAGTTTTGCATTGCAAGAATACTAACCAATCGCAAACTGTTATTTTGATGGGTGGCTTGACAAGTTGGGTATACGCAGTCCTTTTATATGGACACATTACCTTTAAGGGTGTGGTCATTAAAATGCAGATGAATACTCGGCTCAGATCACTGATCTAGATCAGTGGCTCAGATCCAAAAACATTTCTTCTTTTAGACAGGGAATTTTTCCAAACAAACGGGAGGAGAGGGTAACTGGAGATTTTTCACTTGTTTCCATTTCCTTGGACTAATACCTTGAAATTTTGAAGGGTGTCCAAACAAATGTCAAGTGATCGATGACGTAAATTTTAACGGTCAGAAAAAAATGAAAATCGTCCAATTTGAAAACAAACAATATCAATCGAAAGAGCATAAAAAACTGAACAAAAATGGTTTGAAACAAATGTCCTAAAATTAACCAGTTAAAAACTATTACGTGTCGAAGTATAGATGAAGTCACCATATGCGCAAGTCACAAGTACGTGAAAACAGCAATGACTAAGTTTTTAAGAGAAATTTTTTTGGAAACCCTTCAAAATTTCAAGGTATTAGTCCAAGGAAGTGGAAACAAGTGAACAATCTCCGGTTACCCTCTCCTCCCGTTTGTTAGGAAAAATTCCCTGTCTATTCAATTCGTTTCCCTGTTGTTGGCAGAGACAGGAAGTACTCTATGTAAAAAAGTATCGTTACCCTGTGGTTACTAGGCGCCAACTGCAACAAAAGTTACGGTTGCAAAAGGGCAGTTAATGAAAGGAAGAAACTCTTGTTTCCAAACGTGTAGTTGCTGCATTAAGCGTTAAATTGGTAAGAAATCCAATTTGTTTTGGAATTCATGTAAGCAGGGAAATTTTGATTAGAGGAAACCACATATTTAAATTTCCAGGGGCCTAGAGGCTGGCGGTGCATATTTGCTTTATTTATAACAAAACTGGATTTTTGCTTTATTTTCATTGTTTTGAGTTATTTATTGAACCTTGACATCCAATTAGTCTTCAGTATTGAAAATATAAGCTGATATTAGGTAAAAAATAGGGGCTCATGCCCGAAAAGAATGCAATAATTTCATTGCAATTCACTGCAACATTTTTTGACCATGGCAATGAAATGAAAGAAATGAAGCCACAAATGTTTGTTTGAAATTTCATTTTTCAATTTCTCTGACGACATGTAGTTACATTATTCTTCTGACTTTATTTCAAACAACAAATTTTGTTCCATAAATAAACTATATTGCATGTCATACAATGTAATGTAACAATTAATATATAACTAGGATTTAATTAAAGGCATACAACACAGGTAGAAGTGGCTTACAGCCACTTGACCATGAGCGGTTGACCAATCAAACTGCGCACAGAGAAAAACATGTAAAAAGTTTCTGCTTTTCTGCAAATCGGTTTAAATCCTAGAGCAGCGTGCAGTGGTTTCATGTGAGCAGTTTCCAATTCCTTTCTTGTGTGCACGTGCTCTGATCAATTTGATAGAAGTTATATTTTGGATTTGCTGTACTTATGCATGTCAAATGCCTTTAAGGTGATTGTACGAGAAAAGAAGGAGATAAAATTAATCTCTCTTACTTTCCTTAAGAATGAGATTAAAAATTTTGTTGTCTATCACAAAAATTTGCTGTTTGCGTGTTTTTTGCAGTTTGTTGCTAGAAGAATATGAATTTTATTTACAATTTCCATGTGAATAGAAATTGAAATGCAAAGATTATAATGCACACGTTTTTTTATTCTATAGCCATGGTATTTGACCATGATCATCACTTGCAAAATGTAATTGCTGTACATGGTTTGACCATGGCAAGCAATGGTTGGAAAATGATTCATGGTTGACATTTTGCAGGGGAATATTTACCTTTGTTTTGTCTCACAGCTGATGAAAGGTATAATTTTTTTGTGCAGGCTGAAGAACATGACATGTCCATTGGTTTAACAACAACTTCACGGTCTTATACTCAATATTATGTGTATTTGTGTTCATCTGAATTGGTTATTCAATGTCCAAGGAGCGTGCTTCTTTGAGTTCAAAAACGTACCAGTTTACATACCCATCTGTTGCTGTTTGGCATGATTTCAATGATCTCAACTTGAAGCCTTTGAAGAAGAAAGAAAATTTAGCCAAAGATGAAGCAGCAGTGAGTCTTGGAAAGTCTGTTTCCTCAACAGGTATCTTAAGTGGAAATAAAAAGAAATCTGGAAACATGAAAAGGTCTT